TTGGAATACTCCTGAGGCACGACAAGGCTCCCTGAACTGCCTGACTACCGCTGTCCCTGAGGAAGGGTTTCAGCGAGACCCAGTCCACTACTTGAGTATTGGAACTGAACCTTCTAGAAACTTATTGAGAAGCCCAACAACAATTCATTTCCGTCGGCACACCCACACCCCATGAACGCGTCTTGGATCTCGTGCAGTTGATTCAAGAGTACGGATACCAACAAGTGGTCCGCTGGATCACCAACAACCAATGGTTCCAAAGCGACAAAGCATACCTAAAACAAGCCAAACTGTACATTCAAATTGATGCCGTGCATCAAGACCTCGAGGCACTTGTCAAATTCATCCAGGCGAAGAAAGGAAATGACAAGCAAGTTGCCCACTGGTTCATGGTCAACAAAAAGAACACTTACATGTTCGAATTCGCCATGTGCCACTTGCACCACAGAGGAATTCAGCGCAACGCTGACGACAAAATTTGCACCTTGAATACGCGAGAACAGATTGCCAAACGACGATTTGTCTATCGCAAGGTCAAGGATGTCTGCATGGAAGATGCAGCACCTGTAGAAGTAGAACAACAACCAACAACAACTAAAGACATCGAGACAATAGAAAAAGTATCGACCGTCGACGACAACAAGATGGCATCCGATGCCACAATCACATACGAAGCAGCGGTGGTCCCCACATGCACAGCAGTGGTCCCATATGTTCAAAAGTGGCATGTGGCACACTTCAAGATGAGTGTGCATGGACAACAACCATTTGTATTGGAGATGCGAATGATGAATGGTGTGCTACTTGGAGTGGTACCCAACGACATTCTCACAGCCTTGATGAAGGATGGTGGAGACCTTGTCAAGGAAATGATGCGGCGGCACAAGACACTACGATTGGAGGCAGGCGTTGCCTCGGACGATACGGATAACGAATTCGTGACTGGTCAAGTGGCAGCTGAAGAACCACTTGTCGAGGCAGAGGTCGAGGAACAACAACAAGTTGATGCTGATGAACCACTTGTCGACAACCGAGTCGACGAGGAGAACAATGTGGACACAGCACAATCAACTTTGCGGCGATCAAAGAGACGCATGGCGGCGATTGCATCTCAGAGAATCGCAGAACAAGTCAAGGCAAAGCCCCGGCGGGTGGCAGAACAACCTAGAATTAAACGTAGACGCGCAGCAGCCACGAAGAAGAAGTCGACAAAGCCAAAGGCGAAGGGCAAGAAGAAGTCGACAAGGGCAAAGGGCAAGAAGAAGAAGATGATGACAGCACAACCTGTGACGGACACATGGCAGCAAACAACAGTTCAGACGACAACAACTCTTTCTGGACGGCAAGTCAGAAAGCCTGACCGGTACATTCCAGTCTAGGACAACAGGTAAGTAAGGGGGGCGACAACGGAGAGGGAACTACTAACACATGAATACAATACACAAAGAGCAAGCATCTGGTGGGGTGCAGGGCTATACAACAATTTTTTGCGGAGATGAATACAGTTGGTTCAATTGAAGGGTCACATCGAAGGTAGCCAGGTTTGTGGTTCCTGTGCTAGGCAGCCTCTATTGCAGAGTGCTTGTCCGAACGTCCTCCACGCGACGAAAGTCCAAAGTTAATACCCGTGACACCTGACAACCAACCTCTATCATTGTCGATGCTATGCTACAATCTTTAATACAACCAAAGATAGACATAGAACAATAACACATAGTAGACAATCTTTACAAACAAATCATGGCTTCATTCTTTATTGCAGTTGTAGTCGTACTAGCTAGTGGTAGTTCATAATCATGGTAGCATCCATTGTAGGGCAAGCTCTGGATCTTGTATCCTTTAGAAGTTGTCCCGGTCGTGCCCAAGTCGCTGCTGGACTTGGTCCATTTCCAGGGCCCACTCCTCGTCCTACAACTGGACCTACACCAGCCCAAATCAGGAACGTACTTCATACCCGACACCTGGACCACAAGACTCTTGACTGAAACTCTCTGAGCATCCAAGGCGGAGGGGCGGAGATCAAAGTACCGGTACCATGGTACTGACTTGTACTTGTACGTTCAGAGGTCATTCGTGGATATTTCTGCGAACCTGCTCGCAGCCACCCGTTCCGGTTCCAAAATCACCTCTCGCTGGCTAGTAGAGCCATAACCACTGCATGCTTAGGTCTACTTTGTACTTTTGACCATGGCGCCCCCATCCGCTGCGTTTGCGTCTGCCTTTGACAAGGCGAAGAAGAAAAGGAAACGAAAGCCCCAAGCTGCTGAGGATCCTGCATCCATTTCGAAATCGAAATCCAATCAGAGCCATGATGATGCTGTTACCCCAAAGCCAAAGAACAAAAACAAAAAGCAACGCCCGGCAAAGAAATCTCCACAGAGTGCGACACAACCAAGTTCCAACAGAGAAAATCGATCACTAGAAAATGATAATGACAAGAGCAGTAATCAGACGACAAAAAAGAAAAAGCAGCGTCCCGCCAAAAAGCAGCGTCCTGCCAAAAAGCCACGGCTGACTCAAGAAGCTCTCGATTTGAGTGCCAAACTCAAGGAATGTTCCCAACACAAGAATCTGAAGCAAGCTCTACAGCTTTACTGGAATGCGGATGACTCGACCGTTCGAGATCAATTCCATGCCTGTATTGCCATGGACTGCTGTGCTCGCTGTGGGGCATTTGGTGAAATGGAAAAAATCTTTGACTCCATCCAAAATAATAACAACAACAACCAGGGCGCTCCGATAGTACGAGTGGAGACCATGACGACTGCTATCAAGGGATACTCGTTGGCAGGAGATTTGATCAAGGCGACGCAATTGTTCGAATCCATGTTGACGGCCAAATCCAATGCCTCCAAACCCAATGTACGAACACTGAATACTCTACTGAGAGGATGTCTCTGGACGGCGGCCACCATGAATGACAAAGATCAGACAATCTGCGGAGGTGTTGTGACCAGTGAGACCATGTGGCGAAAGTATTGCCAGGATCATTCCGACTCGTTGGATGTATCTTCCTACGAATACTCCATATCTCTATTGTGTCAAAATTTGCAAACGGAAGAAGCCACACAACGAATCGACCAATGCATCCAGCAATTTCCAGATGCGTTGGAAACCCACGCAGCAATCTATTCCTCCTTGGCTCTGGCCAAGGCCCTTCTGGGTGACAAGGATGGCGCCTTGGAGGCCTGTCGAATGGCAAACAGCGCCGTTCAAAACGGTCACAGCAATCCACAGAGCTGGAAAGGGGACTGCAGTGAGAGTCGGGCTACTTCCAATACTCTGTTTCGAAAGCACCGTCTTTCGGAAATGGAACTGCATCTGCAAGCCATTCAAGAGACATGCCGCTCGAAAGAGTTTCCTCCGGACGAGGATGCTCTTGCCAAACGAATCATGAATGGTTTGTTTTACTTTTCGGGTGGAGGTGTCACCAAGGCGGACGAAAATGACAACCAACTGCAAGAGGACGGCGGACGACTTTTGCGGCGCCAAGTGGTGAATTCTTCGTGGCTGAGTTTTGGTCTCAAGGCTGCCTTGAAGAAGGACGCAGTTTCCTCTACCGATTTTCTACGTGTCAAAGAATCAGAGCGATTGTATCGCAAACTAAAAGACAAGAAAGATGGCATGGTGATTCAGGATGATGGTGCGATGAGGCATGTTGACAATAAGAACGACAGTAGACCAGTGATTGATGTAGAACTTGGATCGGGCCATGGTGACTGGATTGTTCATCAAGCCCATGCCTTTCCAGATCGCTATCATTTGGCCTGTGAAATGCGAGCGGATCGAGTGCATCAGATCTTTGCCAAAGGCATGTTAGGACGGCTGACCAACCTGGCCGTTGTTGGGGATGACTCCAAAAGCTTTCTGGAAAGGCTGCAGCCAAAATCCATCTCTACCGTATTTGTCAATCATCCCGAGCCACCCACACAAGTCCAAGGCAAGTCTCATGAGGACCTGCAAGCCATCATGGACAACGGTCTCGAACCTGCACACATGCTGAGCAGTGAAACCCTCCTTGCGGCAGCAAAGTGCCTGCAAGATGCACCGTCATCTCGAATGGTCATTGTGACAGACAATCCAAACTACGGACGCTTGCTCTGTGCTACCGTGGTGCGAATCAATCGCCAGGCATCCAATTCAGTAAAGCTTGAATCAGTGGATCCAGGAGGCCTTCGAACGGTAGAAACAGTGGACAAGATACAGCTTTTGGGGGGACAGCCGTCATCACGGATTGGACACGCCGAGGCTGGGAAGAAAGGAAAGGGATCCAGCTACTTTGACCGGCTCTGGCGAACCGGTGCTGGTGCCCATGCCTCACGGAGTGAACGATACATTCTGGTTTTGCAAGTCGCTAGCTAGAGAGATAGATGGACCATGAATGCATGGCTCCGTAAACCATTAGCGTTAGCTATCTGGGCCGTTCTTGCGTCAACAATTATTGGGCATAAAATAGCCAAATGGTTGATATCACCGCGACCTTTGGAGCTGCGCCGTCTGTTATGCAGACGTCTTTGCCCATGGCAGGTTCTCCCTTCGTTTTAGTCAAGGGGCGGTTCGTCAAAGGCTATTCGTTTCACTTTTGGATTTTAAAATAGCCAGCGGATAGCGATTCGATTCGAATGATCAATCATTCCTGATTTCGCAATGGGCACCTCCGACACAAACATCGAAGATCCATTATTGCAGGCAGGCCGAATACTTACAAGAACTCACGTCAGCCTTTCATCCAACCATGATGCTTCTTCACACCTCTGTCGTCGCCTTTCTTGACTTGTCTGTGCCAAAGCTTTGATGTTTTGGCCTCCCATGGCTGTCGTTCGTCCTTCTACCAAGCCCATCAAGTCTGCTCTCCCCGAGGTGGATGTGGATTGCACGCTAAATCCAGAGTGTGATGACGCCAACGAAGAGTTCTCAGCAGCAACCCGGAACGATCCAAAACCTCCTTGTCGCTACGGTCTATTTTAACTTCGATTTTTTGTGAGGGGGTAACCATCACTTCCACACAGGCTACACATCTGCATCGAAGAATTTCGAACCCGGATAACTGAATATGAGGCAGCTAGATCTAATGAAAACGAACAATCCAATAAAAGAGTACACGTGCAGTCTTTTGAAACCCAAACTATCACGGCGACGGCTCTAATTGTATGACAGCTCGTTTCGTTGTTGTTGATCCCAGTGTGAGATTTGGGACAAAGCCCACCCTCAAGTAAGTTGGCTCTACTTCCCATGAGCATCCATGCTAATAAACTTTTCCCACGCCTAACCTACAAGATGATCAGACCTTCAAAACCGACCCATTCAGAGTAGATTGCTCATACATATAAATAATCAATTCATGCAAACAAGAACCCCAGTCCAGCCATGACGATAGTAGTGACAATGGTTGACTTCGTCCTTCTGCCATCAGAACTCTTCAGAGGCTCCGGTCCTGCATCGCCACCGGCTCCATCCTCTATTTCATCATTGGTTTCTGGATCTTCCATTTCATCCTCCATACTGTCCATGCCATCCTCTCCATCGTCCATTTCGGCAGTCACGTTGCCGGCATCCGAGACCACCGGAGTCAATGCATCATTACCGGATGCCGCATCACTTCCTCCGCCATCGGCCATATTCACCGATGTTGTACTACCCCCTTGTTCTTGTGGTGGCACGACGACACAACTGTTGGGATCAAATCCGGCGAGATCGGCAATACAGGCATTGTCGTAAATACAATTGGCCGTACTACAGGCCAATGGCCTATAGTCGGCGGTGCACAACGCATCGGGATCCAAGGGTTGTTTGCAACATTCCACCGCCGAAAATCCCGCCAATTCGGCACATCCTTGGTTGGAATACTCGCACGTGCCACACTTGACGGGTTCCCAGAGGGTTGTACAGACACCCGTTCCTTGCGGACAACAGTCCTCGTCGGTCCATCCCGCCGAGTTGGCTTCGCAGAGATTGCCGTATTGACATTCATTGGGACCACAGAGCTGGGGATCGAGGTCCGCCGTACAAATGGCATCCGACGGACCCTCCGTCACTGCAGGACAACACTCCGTTTCGTCAAATCCAGCCGCTTCGGCTTGACACATGTTGGAAAACGAACACGGGAGGATCTTGTCAAAGCCACAATTGACGGGTGCATAAATCAAGATACACGCGGTATTTGCGTCGGGAAATCCACAACATTGATTTTCATTGTATCCAGCCGCAAAGGCTTCACAGGCGGATTCGTAGGGACACTGTTTGTGGGGAGGTCCACACGACACGGGTGGAACTTCCATGTCGGTACAGGCCGTATCGGTTCGGACATCTTGACAACAATCCAAATCCATGTCAAATCCTGCCGATTGCAAATCACAAATAGTGTCGTAGAGACAATCTTTGGAGGGTCCACACTTGAATGGATTGGAAGGAGCACCCGAACAATCGGCCGTGCCAGTGGGACATTCCGGTGGCAACAGTTCACATTGGTCGTCCGAATATCCCGCCAATTCGGCCACACAACTATTGCTGTATTCGCACTGTTGATCGCCACAAACTACCGGTGCAAAAATAAAGGGACACACCGATGGTTGTGGAGCTTGACAACAATCCGTGTCAATGTCGTAGCCATTCTCACGGGCCAGACAAAAGTTTTCGTAGGAACAAGATCGGTCGGGACCGCAAATGACAGGGTTGAAGGGTTCCCAATCGCACGCACCCGTGTTGGTGTTGCTGCAGGTACTAGTCTGAGCCGAAACAGTCACAGCAAGTAGTGTGATGGACGAGGCGAGGGTGATGAGGCAACGGGGTGGCATGATGATTGTCATGGTGGACCACTATGAGCAGTCAAAGGCACAAAAGTTCTGGTAGTTCTTCTTTTTTTGAAGACTGTGTATTGTGTTGAAGGCTGTGTTGTGTTGTGAGAACGCAATAATTGTCCCGGATCCTTGGATGCAGGACTGTGCGTGGTGGTCTTGGGAGTTGAGAGGAGAGTTCTTTGGCGAAGTGTTCGCTGGATCTTTTTCAAAGATACATGTGACATGTATCAATTCGAATATTTCATTCGAATATATTCGAATGTATTCGATTCAGACGTGCTGACACTGAAACTCAGTCAGCACAAATTCGATGATGATCGATGTTGTTCCACTCAACGATGCCACCAAGCTGTGCCCACCTCCCACCTTCCACAGTTCCCACAACAACAAAGCATCTTCCGAGTCGAGTCATCCTATCTATCTGTGTTAACAAAACTCTGAAACAATAATAATACTATGGCGTCCTTCTTCTCTGTCAATCTAAGCTACCAGGGCAAGACAATCCCATTGGAGAATCTCACAACAGCCACCACAGGGGCGGAATTTCACGGGTTGGTCTACGACGCCTTGCAGCTGTCTCCCACCGACTCGACGCTCAAAGTATTGCTCAAGGGCAAACGCATCGAACCGGACAGTACAACGGCAGTCTTTGCCAAGGTGCCATCCAACAAGCCACCCAAGATTCTCGTCATGGCATCGGCCAAAACTTCCGTCGAGGAATTGAATGCCAAGAAACAAGATCCCACCATTCGTGGCTTTGACACTCCCAAAACTGCCTCCGCTAGTAGCACAAGCTACTGGGGACCACACGGCATCCAACCCGACAAGAATTACAAATTTGGACGGTTGCAAGAATGTCCCTTTCACGAATTTGGACATCGACCTACCGATACGACGCCCCATGCATTTGCCGCACGACAATTGTTGCAACGATTGTCGACAGATCCCGGCGTAATTGCTATTTTACAAGAACGACAACTAGTCGTGGGAACATTGGGAGAAATGGATCCCATTGACGATCGATTAATGCAAAAAAAGCAGCAACAACACAGTGGCGCCTGTTTGCTGGGATACAATACCAATCGAGGATTGCGCATCGACATTAAACTGCGGACGGACGATTTGACTGGATTTCGGCCGTATTTTCAATTGGTATCGACATTGATTCATGAATTGTCGCACAATTGGGTGGGAGAACACAACACTCTGTTTTGGGCCAATTATGGACAAATGCGATTGGAGTATTTCATGGCACACAAACGACAACAGCATGCCTTGTGGAACGGACAAAACAGTGCCATGTTGGCCGAACTGCCGTCGGCACTGATGCAAAGTCAGGACAAGGCCATTTTGGCCTTTGTGCAACAAGAGTTGGTGCAAGAAATGGCACAGCATCACTTGCATCCCAACATGATTGAGGCACCATTGCGACAACGATATGACGAACTTCAAGCCACTATGCCGGCAGGGCAACGATTGGGTGGTTCCGGAACAGCGACAGCAGCAGGAGACAAGAGAAACATGGCACTGGAAGCCGCCGAACGAAGAGCTCGAGAGCAGCAACGACAAAAGGAAGAAAATGAAAAGAAAGGGAGGTGATTGAGATTTAGCGTTGGAAATGTTATAAGTGTTGTCGTTTCTAGTGGGTTCATTATTTGCTGTTTTAGTCTGCAGGTTTCACACTAGCACGTTGGCATTGCACTACGTACGCCCTTTCGTCGAGTTCGAGGGATGATTCGACCCGCAAACCTTTATAGCTACCAGGTAGCGGAGACCAACTCATCGCCCATCTTTGTCAATCCTGCCATTTGCAGTGTGTCGTCCCCGCAGAGCACCTCGCCAACCACGAACCCCATTGCTGGTGTTGCACCCAAAGAATGGAAAATGATAAGCCAGGATCTTCTATTTTCAAACGCCTTCCCAAGGCATTTCTCATGATCCCATCGCTCGTTTGCTAGTTTGGTGAGTCGCAGTACTGGTTTGTCCGCATCCCACGTCCCAAGCCTCCAAAAAATAATGCTACCGGTAAATAAATCGACTCGACTGAGTCACTCGATTCGGAACTTTCGAATTCGCTTTCGAACAGTGATGACATCATGGAATTGATTCGCTCTTTGAACAGTCCCGCAAGATCGCTCGACGCTATCAATTACAACCTGCGGGTGAGCGAACAACCGTCACATGAAATTTGACCTGTCACTTAGGGGCAGAGCGAGGCGGATGATACGTTGCCTTACGACATCATGCAGGTTTGCACCAAAACCACAAAAAACGGATCCACAACACACACACAAAACGATAACCAACGTAACAACCACCAACGTAGTCCAACGTATCGTCGTCGAACCCAACAACCAACGTCGATTTTTGAAAGGATAACGAAGCGAACAGTAGTGGAAGCAGAGGCTAAGGTAAGTGCACACAATTATTATTCTATCTTTGTGGGAATCCAAGAAACAACCAAGAACAGCAACAACAGCAAGCATGGTATCCTTCTCCTCTTCTCGATTGGCTCTTGCCTCCATCCTCCTTTTGGTCCTTCGCACCTCCGAGGCTAAATCCACCTCCGACCTTCGAGGAAAGACTTCCAAAGACCAAAGGAATCTATTCTGGTACAGCTCCAATGTTAACATGGAAGCTGAAGGAGGAAACCCTGATCTTCCTTGGGACCAAAAGCCAGCACCCGAGGAAGTACCAGTGGTGGAACCAGAGACTCTTCTTTCTCGTCAAAACAACGAAGACGAACTTCCTGATGAGGTCGATGGTGCTCCAATGGAAGAATCCGAGGACAGCGTGGCTGCTCTACCGGAAGAGTCAGCAGACGAGCCAATGACTTTTGCGCAAGACTCCGATAGCAATGATGAGGACATGAACATTGCACAAGAGTCTATGGACGAGCCTTTCCTGGACACTGTGGAAGAGTCAGAGGATGAACCGATTCCAGAGTCTCGTACAAAGCTCTCTGAGAATCCATCCATGGCTCCATCAGGTATGCCGACTATGGTACCTACCTTGAGTCCAACATCCACACCCACCACAAGCCCAACCGGCTCACCAAGCGCTGTTCCATCACGGTTGCCCACAGATAGCCCCACTGGAAGCCCCACCCAACTCCCTTCATCAAGTCCATCAGGTACGCCGTCGCTGAGCCCGTCAATCGTACCTACTGGTGGACCCACAAGAATCCCATCAAGCTCACCATCCCTTGTTCCTACTGGTTCTCCTTCCTTTGCTCCATCCATCCTTCCAACTGATTCTCCATCTCTCTCTCCCTCAATTCTTCCTACCAATTCTCCCTCTATCCTTCCTACCAATTCTCCCACTTTTCTTCCGTCCGGGCTACCTACATTCTCTCCCTCAATCCTTCCCACTGCTAACCCTTCAGGTACGCCCACAACCAGCCCTTCTTCGATTCCAAGTGATATGCCCTCCAAGGTCCCTTCCATCTCACCCACACGCTCCCCTTCAGTTGCTCCAAGCGTCGGCATTTTGCAAAGAGACGAGCTCTCCGATGTTCTCGTCATTGAAACGGATGGCGAGGACGAAACACCAGCACCCAACAGTGTATTGCAATCCGAAAATGAATCCAGCAACAACTGGAAATACTGGGCCATTGGCGGAGCTGTCGCCGTGGCCGTTGGAGCTGCCGTCTATTTACTATCCATTAATGCCTCACAACAGGCAGCAGCACAAGCACTGGACAATGCCGATGCAACCAATTTAATGTCCGCTGACGACATGGCATTCAGTCCGCAAGCTGCCGGCATTCACCAGGCAACCACCGTTTGATGATGCCAACTTCGACAAATGCAGTCTGTGCATCCATCCAAACAAAAATTCACTGTGTAAAGACAAGCAAGCAAACCCTCGCGGCGTGCAGAGCAATTCCACTATCTATACATTCAAGTCAGCAACACGGCTTGTTTCAGAAAGAGGATTGACTTTGATATGAGTCGCAACTATCTAGCTAGTACAAACGTAATAGATGATGTAAATGGTGTTGTTATTAAAAACGATCCCAGTAGTCTAGATTTTGCAGCATCTCTCTTCCAGATGAAGGGTACGGTGGGGTGGCGTCAATTAGCCCTTCGGACCACCGTACTGCACAGTTAGTTTACTCGAGTACACTGTGTGTTGTCATTCCCGCAAGCAATGCTGCCCTCCCCAAGGTTCAAATTCTCTGCCAATGAGGCAGCCGGTTGTTGGTGCAGTGGAAGCTCTACATGTATGTAATCTTCCATCCAACATTACCGAGTTTTCCAACTGAGTACAGTACACCTTGCATCGCCCTGCATCGTAAGTGTAGACTAGTTTGATCGTTTGTTCAGCCTGGACACTCAACACTCAAGTTGGCTCCACAGCAGCTCCACAGTCAACGATGATGGAAATTGTGGCCGTACGCCCGTTAACCCAAAGACTCGTGCCGTAAATTGTCCCTCAGAGATGTCCATTTATTTCTTTCATTCATTTCTGGTGAGCTGCCTAAGCAAAAAGACATAAAGAGTACCGTAAATAAGTAAGTGAAGTAAGAAGTGCAGTAAGAAGTAAGTTTGTGCATGCTTCTTCAAAAACGAAGACGCTCGGGGATGCAGGGGGGTGTCAGTGGACGGTGGATGGTGGCCATGGGCATTAAACATACACTCAGTACAGCTCTCAGTACCGCGTTCCAGCGATCCAGTTCCAGCGTTCCAGCTGGACAGAGTTCGGTACCAGAGTTATTTGCTGGCTCATTGCTAATTGAAATATCTTTGAAAGTGTGAAGTGTGGAGGGACTCATTCCCGCGTCAAACGCAAAAGGAGCCAAAACATCAACACTTCCACAGCACGAAGTGTTGGATGTGCCCAAATCCCTTTTCGAGCCCCAGTCCCTTCCCACACATAGTCCACTCCAACCACATAGTAATTCCATTTCTTTATCTGGCAGAAAAGAGATGGAGAGGCACCATCGCAATGAACATGAAGATGAGGTCAGGTCAGGAGCAGGTGCAGTATGTCATCAAAATGACGAAAGGAGTGTGTTGTATCATCAAAATGACCACAATGCTGAGGACCAAAACTCTGTTTCCCAAGGAGACTACAATGATCCTCAACAATCACACTCAGTTACTCACCTCCATGTGTTTGCGGATCAAGAGAAGAGACAGGACCGGCATCGGCAACCAGAGGAAGCTGCTGTTGTTTACCCAGAAACTCTTCAGTTCTTTGGTCAAGATGACCAAACCATGGTTTCCAACGTTACTGACCTCCACTCTGTGGAGTATCAAAATGCAATGTACCCTTCCTTGCATAATGTACCAGACGATGAAACAGTGGAAGATCCCTTCCACAATAGCAGCAACCATGAGCCTGCACTGAATTCCGACGTCCTGGCACAAAAGGTGGATGACAAAATGATGACTCTCCCTGAAGAAACTGAAGAAAAATCAACTACTCAGGTGGGAGTAGTTCCCAGCAGTATTGGGGCAAGCAAGGTTGAGGATGCCTACATACAAGCAGAGGCAAAAGAGCTGGCTACTGCTCCTCAAAGTCAATATGGGACACTTCCTAAGATGAGTGAGGCACAGAAATTTGACAAACAAGCGTGCTCAGCAGCTCCTCGGGGACTATCAAATCAACAGTATGATGTCATGGCAAAAGATGGAAAGGACAATGGCCCAGTCATTCCGCATCAGCAGAATCAAATTGGAGCCACCCAGGAAAGAAACAATCACCAGGAGGCTCCATTTGTAGACCTTCCAGATGACATTCCCTCAAAGTACCGCCCCCCTTCCAAAGTAAGCATGGCAATTGCAGCTTCAACAGACTCCAGAGCAGGGCTTCCGGGAGCTTTTGCGGAAGGTGGAAGACCTTTTCATCCCAACGAGAATCCTGATGCTGAAGCAACTTCACATCCTGACGAGAACCCTGAGTCTACTGGGGATACCCGTATGGACAACCATCGAGGAGAACACATGTTGGTTGCGGAAGTTTCAGTTCCTGATCCCACAGGAATCCATGGCAAAGATGAATCGTCCAAGGAGCAGAGCCAGAGAGCCATTGGCAGGAAATGTGCTTTGCTTGCACTAGTTGGTTTCCTTGTTGTGATCATCACTATTGGCGGTGTCTGCGGTAGTGGTGCATGCAGTGGAGGCAGCAGGGAGCAAGAAGGCTTGGTACCTACAATGGCTCCAACCTCACAGAAGTATTTTGAGCATCAAATGGCAATTCTGAATTTCTTTGGAGAGGACTATTTTGATGGAATGGATACTGCATCCCCCCAGCACAAGGCCTTGGATTGGATCACAAATGATCGCATAGCACCAGAGGATGATCATTTCATTCAAAGGTTTGTTTTGGCAGTCTTCTACCTCCACACATCACAGCAGTCAAGGTGGCTGCAATGTACCCCAACACTATCCTGTCTAAGCAATGGTGTTGGTTGGATGCGTTCAGGCAATGAATGCAACTGGGGTGGAATAGATTGTGATGAAAGTGGTCATGCGACAGAGTTGAGCATGATAGACAATGACTTGAATGGGAAGCTGCCAACAGAGCTGGCTGTCCTCTCCAAGTTGACCAGTCTCAAGTTGACGGACAACAATCTCACAGGTCCGTTGCCATCAGAACTCTACACACTTGCTTCGTTGGAGGAACTGAACTTGAATGGCAATTCTCTGACTCGAGCGATCAGCACCAAAATTGGACTCCTGACAAGCCTGTCCAAGATGGATCTTTCAAACAATCAGTTCTTTGGAAGATTGCCAGAAGAATTGTCAGCCTTGACAGGGTTGTACCAGTTTGACATCCATGGAAATGATGGTTTGTATGGCCAGATTCCTCAAGCCGTGTGTGACACTGCCCACAGGCACACTGATGCGGCTGAAGAAGTTATCGTCAAGGCCGACTGCCGCATGGTGGAACTAATTACTGAAAACATCAACTGCCCAAAGGACTGCTGCACAGAATGCTGCTACGAAGGGAAGTGCTTTCCTGCTGAATGAATGAGTGTCCCATGTAAAGATCTTCAGGGGCTTTTTAAGACTAGTTTTCAGGTGGTAAAAATATCTAGAGTGTGCGTGAAATGAAATACATCAGTCTTTGGCACCACTTGTTTCAGTGTGGCGAGTCTAGGAGTGGGGACTTCCAAAACAAATCTGATTCATTAACAATGCATAGATACTGGTAGATGAGTAGATGCGTGGATCAAGAGAGGCCAGAGGTGGTACCGGTAAGTGTTGGCCAGCCAGTCTTCTTGGGTTCTTCCAAACTTTAACCTCTCCGAGCTAGCTACTAGCTAGCTAGAGCAGGAGCAATAGGTATACTGGAACAGGTTTCGTGTACAGTCGTGCTAATAAGAAAGTACGGAGGTTGGTAGAGTGCTCAAGTGTGCGCCCCACTAATCAAAGAAAAGATCTGAAAATTTTTATGTTGGCATGTTAGTTGCGAGACCACACCCGGAATCCATTCCCCGCATACCGGTACGGTAGTCCATCTAACCCCATAGTATCCCGCTCTTAGATTCTTTCGCTGGTAAATCACTTTCGCTGGTAAAGAATGGATGCTGGATCTGTTGGAAGCATCCTATCATGGGTCGAGGGACTTCTCTTGAAGGTCTTACAGCTTCTGGTGTGGCTTCTGGAGAGGTTTCTGATTGAAGATCGAAGCCAAGATTCCGATTACCGATATCACCAAAATTGGAGCAGTGGTGGTAGCAGCGGTGGTAGCAGCGATAATGAGGACCAGGGAAAGAGGGCTCTCCAGGAAGCAATGAAGCTGTTTGGGATTGATTCGCTGGATGACAACGATGTCACTAAAGGCTCTTTACGCAAAATATGGATGCGCTTGAACCTCACTTATCACCCAGACAAAAACAACAACAGCCCAGATTCTATCGAGAAAACACAGCAGATCAATGAAGCCTACGAGAGGCTTTGGCAAGAGTTAGACAAACGAGATGGGGTTGACGGAGCTGACGATGGCAACGAGGCAAGTACCCCGGATCATCAGCAAGAAGATAGGCCCATCTCTAAACAAGAACGCAAACGCCAGAAAAAGGAGAGGCAGAAAGCTAGACAACATGCCAAGCGCCAACAGCAGGAAGAATGGGAACGGCGAAGAGAAGCCTGGGAGGCAGAACTAACACGAGTGCAGGAAGAGATGGAACGAAAAGCTAAGGAATACAAAAAGAAGGAAAACCATCGAAAGAAGGAGCGCCGGATGAATGAAAAGAAAGCAAAAGAGTTGGGATTAGAGAATCCAGGGAGAAGGGTGGAAACCTTCCATCGATGGGTGGGGGACGCGATTGCTTTATTGAAAAGTCCTATAGACTCCAGTGACTGCCCATCCAAGTACTACGTCATGGAGCTCTGCAACCACCCTATTGCGGAAGCTTTGAGGACTGATGAAACCGATATTGCAATTGAGTTGGTACACGAGACTATTTGTGACGCGATCTACTACTGGGCTGCCAAGGTGGTTCAAGAAGAGTGTTTTGAGATTGATTCAAAGATGAAGGATTTTGTCCTATCAGAGGCTCTCCTCCTGTCTCTGGATGAAGACGGAAACAGCCTGATCCACTACGCTGTCTACTTTGGGAACAATGACATGCTTTCCTACTTGGCGCAGAAGGCAAGGAAACGGGATCGACTACAAGGATTGCTTGCTTCGAGTAATGTGCACGGGTTGGCGGCCAGTGATTTTGCTCTCTTGAGAGGGAACGAGCGCATGCAGCGTCACATGAAGAAGCTTCAGGAAGAAGTGGAGGAACGAATCCAAAGCTCCAAGCTCTTGCCAACCATCAAGCGGTACATGGCAACGTTGGGAAAGGCGCCTAGCATGGCTCCAGCAATGGTTTCCCTCTTCGGAATTTCGTTGGGGATGATTGCGTTCGAAACAGGCTGGATTATGACTTTTGCCATTCTTGGATTCGTCATGAAGGAGAAACAGTCGGTAAGGCAAGGGATCCTTTCAGATCCAGGGGCCTTTCCAAGAGAACTGTTGTCATTCCACCTGTATTGGTTGTTGGTCAAGAAGATCCACCAAGGAATTGCCGCAGTATCCGAGTTCTATTATCTGTCCATTCCGTTTGTGTTTATCTTGTGGCTTTTTACACCGCCAAAATATGCCAGCCTTCCCTTTCACATTTCCAATTTTGCACATGGTTGGACCGCCCGTGTCGTTGACACCGTTCCACTTCCCACAAACGTGTTATCGCCAATGCCAAGGGCATTGTGCTGGATGCTGATACATACTTGTGTGCTCTTGGCTGTCAAGGCCCAGTTTGCAATGGCTTTGGATACACTTGATGTTTCTGGCTTTCATCATCTGGAGCAGCAACCCACGCATCGAGAGATGATGCAATTGGAGTCCAAACAACAACACGCCATGGATGTTTTCAATGCTTTTCTGAAAGAAGAAGGCGACTTGTGATTTGCCATAGCAATCCTCCCTCCATGCACGGCGATGCTGTCATTGCCGTCACCTAACAGCGTAACGACCAAGCCAGAAAAAGTTCGTAGTAGAGCCATGACATCATTGTTTCGTCATCCTGCTGCGGGAGGAAAATACTGCGCCAATGGCCCGGACGTACAGCTGAGTTCGACACGTGTGGAGACACACGACAACTCGGTAGGCATGGGTGGTGCCGGCGGTTCTTGGTAGACCCCAGTGGCATACTTTTGCCAGCGAGCCTCAAACAATCTCCTGGCATATTGGTACAACCAGAGATCTTGTGGCATGAGCGACGCCAATGCCTTGTACTCGGGACCCTTGAGAGTCGCCTTGTTGTTATTCATATTCTTCATGGGCATGGAAGGCATCGCCGAGAGATTGAATTCGTGTTGCAACAACCTCATGCTGCGGGGCAAGTCTTCCAAAATGCCAAACCATCTCGTTTCGCGCAATCGAGCGGCCGCCAACGTGAGCATGGCAGTGGCGTTGGAAGCTGCCTGTTCTCGTTTGAGAACGTCCTCTTCAGTCCGCTTTTTGGGTGCCACCCAACTGGCAATATGGGTCCCCGTCAACCAACTGACACCGGCTTGTCCATCTTGCCAAATATCTCTCGTTTCGAGCAAATGCTGTTTGTTGCCCTCCAACAAATATTTGCTAAGTGACATTTGCTGTAAATTGTTATCAGTGTCGCTTCCCCCCAATTGCCGTGTCTTCCAAAAATAAAAATGCGACACGGCGCGTTCCACGGGTTGTCGCAACAGTGTCACGACATGTACGGGTAGATTGTCTCGTTGTTTTTGGACCACTTCGATTTGACTCCAATCAAAATGACGGCCGCCTAAATAGGCCCATTTCTTTTCGTCGGCAATCTTTTGTCCGATGGTATCAAAACTAGTTCCACCGGCCTTGCCAATGTGCAAAAAGGCTAGAATGGCATCGTAAAGGACTGTGTCTACTTTTTTGGTCAGTTCGGCGACACTTTTTCGGGATTCTTGCAGATTTTTCTGGAGTGTTTCGACCGTCTTTTTGAGTGTCTGCACTTCGTTGTTGAGCGCTTGGACCATGCCAGGACTGCTGAGCAAGACACTGTCCATGCGCAGTTTCATTTCTCCCACTTGAGCGTTGGTTCGTTGCAATGGCTTTTTCAGTTCTTCAATGGCTTGCTTCAACGCATCCACTTCTTGCTGTTGTGCATTATTGTTGGAAGCGACAGAATCCACTGGTTGTTGCTGCTGTGCTCGTGACCAACTCGACATACCAGTGGAATCCAGCGACAGGGAGCTCTGGATCGTCTTCAAGTCCGCCAAGGTAATGTGATGATACGCCAACACGGTCAGCTGCAAACACCCCACAAAGATCAGTCCTCGTCCCACCCACCGCATTGCGAACGACGGCGCTCGCGCTGGGATTGGCGGCTTGTTGTTCTTGGTCCCTCTTCCTCCATCGAACAGTTTCATTGCGAATGTTCTCTCGTTGTAGCCACTAGCATATACATGTACGAGTGTAGCATTCCGTATGAGGCCATCTCCAATTACGATGGAAGAGCGGACTTGTGAGAAATGAACCGCGTTGCGAAAGATCCAAGATCCTGTGCGTCCAGTTTCATCGGGACTGGACATGACGTCACTCAGTCGAGTCAACGCCCATTGTGCCAGCATTGCAATGGCAATGCATCCCTCCTTTGCTCCTCCCTGCCCTCCTGGCTTCACCCCTTTCCTTGGTTTCCATGTTGCCCTGCTTGCGCACTTGATTGCTTGCCTTGCGTTCTTGCATCGTGCCCTCCCCTCGAGCTCTGTCCTCATCCTCATCTTAGCTCTCTCTAATCCATAGTAACTTCCCAATGAGATCGTCTCAAGCTACCGGTAGCTTCTGGTAGCAACTGTCATACAGTGCAGCCAGATTCGAATCCGGTAGCCGAAGACTCAACAGAGTTTCCGAGAACACAACATAGCCAGAGGTTGCGGGAGAGATCTGTGCCAACGTCATCAAGCCCTGTTCTGTAAGGAAGTGATAAAATACATGCCAAAGAGTCTGTCGAAACCAAAAATCCGGGGACCATGCAGCCCCTGACGGTGACCTAGCTAGGGGTACTGGTAGCAGCTCTGGTAGTTTAGCACATGAAAAACTAGTCGTTTTAATAAAGTCCTTGTAGATCTTTGCATGGGACACTCATTCATTCAGCAGGAGGAAAGCACTGCCCTCTGAAGCAGCATTCTGTGCAGCAGCCCTTTGGGCAGTTCATTTGAGTATTTGCAGCCCCCAATTCACAATCTGCCTTGACTATTACTTCTGCAGCCGCATCAGTGTGGCTGTGGGCAGTGTCACACACGGCTTGAGGAATCTGGCCATACAAGCCATCATTTCCATGGATGTCAACTTGGTACAACCCTGTCAAGGCTGACAATTCTTCTGGCAATCTTCCAAAGAACTGATTATTTGAAAGATCCATCTTGGACAGACTTGTCAGGAGTCGAATTTCAGTCATGATCTCTCCTGACAGAGAATTGCCACTCAAGTTCAGTCCCTCCAACAAAGCAAGTGAGTAGAGTTCTGATGGCATCGCCCCTGTGAGCTTGTTGTCTTGTTGTCCATCAAATTGAGACTGGTCAACTTGGAGAGGACAGCCAGCTCAGTTGGCAGCTTCCCATTCAAGTCATTGTCTATCATGCTCAACTCTGTCGCATGACCACTTTCATCACAATCTATTCCACCCCAGCTGCATAAATTTGCCTATATTCACCCAACTAGTTCCCAGAATATCTCCCTCAATTGCGTGGCAGTACATCATTGGGGTACATCGAAGCCATTTATGCGCCTGTGATGTGTGGAAGTAGAAAACCGCCAAAACAAATCTTTGAATGAAACGATCATCCTCTGGTTCTATTGGATCAATTTGTGATCCAATCTAAGGCCTTGTACTGGGAGGATGTAGTATCCATTCCTTCAAAATAGTCCTCTCCAAAGAAATATAATATTGCCATTTGATGCTCAAAATGCTTCTGTGAGGTCGGAGCCATTGTAGGTCCCAAGCAACCTTGCTCCTTGCTGCCTCCACTGCATGCACCACTACCACAGACACCACCAATAGCGATAATCACAAGAACCAAACCAATAAGTGCAAACAAAGCACATTTCCTGCCATTCGCTCTCTGGCTCGCAACCTTGGATGTTTCGTCTGGGCCATTGATTCCTGCTGGATCGGGACCTGTAACTTCTGCAACCAACATGTCTCCAACTTGATGGTTGCCCATATCCCTATAGTAGGAGATTCAGGGGTCTCCTCATCAGGACGCAAAGTTGCTGAAGCATCAAACGTTGCCCTTCCCCCTTCTGCAAAAGCTCACAGAAGCCCTGCTCTGGGGTTTGTTGAAGCTGCAATTGCCATGCTTACTTTGGAAGGGGGGCGGTACTCTTCTGGAACGTCATCTGGAAGGTCTACAAATGGAAACTCGTGGAGATTGTTTCTTTCCTGGGTGGCTCCAATTTCGTTCCGCTGCTGTGGAATGACTGGGCCCTTGTCCTTTCCATCTTTTGTGTCTTCACTCATTTTGGAAGAAAGCAAATCTTCATCCATGCCAACTGAGTAACTGAGTTATCTTGGTGGATCCAAGGCCAGGGCTGACTGAATCGAATCGAAACCCCATGCAGGGAGGGGGGTGTAGAAGTACGTGCATCATTGGCACTGAAGGCGCGGTATATGGTATGACACCGTGAAAATACCAGTTGCCACATACTGTACGGTACTTGTACCAGCACACCTGGCTAGCTTGTAGAGTACTGCGGCAGGGCTTTGTGCGGTTCAGTTCTTTTCATTTGTTTTGCTGTTGTGAAGCGCACAAGATTTCCTCTGGATGATCATCATGCTGTTAGAGTGGTGTGTTGTCTGGTGCCACGAGAGAGGTGGCTGAGATGCGTGGATGTCGAAGTCTATGTGCTTCTGCCCATCGTCCCCTGATTTCCAATCACAACATGTAGCAAGTGCCCAGCAGCGAGGATGTTCTTTGGAAAGACGTTCTCTGCCTGTCCAGCAGATACATGTACCAGTAGCACAGTCTGGGAAACTGGATGTTTACATGTACTACGTTTCGCGACCTGAACCTGCACGGGTTGGATGCACAGAGTCGAGTGGAGTCCTTGTGGCTTGTGAAGTTTATATTATTATCCATGGATCCTGCTCGGGGTGCCTGGTCGATCCCGTTGGGGATTGAGTCGCGGCTCAGGAAGATCACAATCTATCTTCACATCTTTCCCGAGCGCGAACCCAAAGCTTTCTTGGGCACTCTTCTTCACAGTTTCGGAGATGAGGACCTCCCTCTCTCATAAAACAAACCAACACAAACAACACAAACAAAACAACCAACACCTGAAATGGGAAATACCTGCGCATCAACCTCTGCAATCAAAGAACAACCTCAAGTGATCAAAATGTCATCCGACGGAACCCAAGAAGTCAGTCTCAAGAAGCAACGCCCGGGTTGCACTGGGATGTTCTGGCGTCCCGACCCCACGGGACAAGTCAAGTTGGCATCCAACGACAATTGGCCAAGAGATGGAGCCAAATTGCGGGGCAAGGTCGTCGAAGTCGATGGCAAGAAATGGATGCTGGCGACTCAAGTGTTGCAAAAGGGAGGAAGCGATTGGCTTCCGGCGCCAGCAGGAGCAGCCTTGCCGTTTGAGTACGACAACCATTATTACCTGGAATAGACAAGGAGAAAAAAACGATCAAGCAAGCAAGCAACGGAATGAGAATGAAGAAACAAGACATGGGGCTGTGTCGGGTGAGTGGAATCGGATTTGATTGCTAGCTAGCTAGCTAGTGCATTAGTAACGTAAAACCGTAATGAAAATTCATTTTTTGTATGGGTTCCGTCCTGTCGAATAGCGCAATAGCAAGCAGGGTGCGCTGTCAACTGCATTGCGATTCCATTCCTCCAATCTCCAATGACCCTTTGGTTCGATCTGTGGTGACTCTACTCTTGCGTGTATCTGACTCATCTGTGCTGGACTTTCTGTTCTGATGTAGCTCCTACGTGTATTTGCTGTTCCTTTGGAGAGTTGGGTTGACTTTGTCAAAGTAGCCAAATATTTGGGCAAACTGTTGTGCGTGTTAGGTGTTGGGTCCTCCTTCAGGCAGTAGTAATTCTGCATCATAGAAGTGATGCAGTGCCTGCAAATGTTGTCATACTCACAAAATGTAGCGCATAAGGACGGCCAACGACTTGGACGAGCTAGTAGATCCAAAGTGTGGTCTAGCTAGCTAGGAAGCTGTAACATACTCTTATACGTAGAGAAATGCAACTATCTAGTCCCCAACTTCCAGCCAGTTCGTGCAAGTAGGATACCGAGCTAGGCATTGCCGCTCCCCCACAACAATTGCCTCTTTCTGTAGTACAAACCTAGTGGAGCAAGCATTTTAACCATAGCTGCTTCCACTTCTGCCGGAACAGAATCACGATCCATCAATGCATGCATGCATTTCCATCAAACAAGGTCCTCTGGCATTACTTCATTGGGCCCATCAAAGCCATGCGCACCCAGTCGACGTAGATCGACCAATCGTTCCTTGCGAAGGGTTTTCTTTTTATACAGAGATCGCTGTGCGGCCATCCACAGACCCAAATTGTAATCGCTTCGACCACGAATGGTGGGTATTTTCAAGTGTCCATTTTCATCTTTCCATGCCGTCAATTGTTCCATGCGATCCTCCCACGTAAACAATTTTTGTCGTGCATACGTGGCCTTGGGGTTGGCTTTCGGGCCCGGCTTGTAGCGTTTTTTGGTTGGATGGTATTTGGTGGATTTTGTTGTTGTGGCTTGACGTTTGTTGCTGTGGTTGGCCAAGGGCTTTTTGTTGTTATTGTTGTTGTGATTTCCAAACATTCGGAGTTCCTTTCCTCGCCGGGTGGGCGGCTCCGGAGGTTGTATTTTCAATTCTTTTCCTCGTCTTGGCATCTTGGGTTCCTTCTGCGGCATCTTGGGTTCTTTGATCATCATGTTATTAATGTCCTTGCCTCGTTGTTGTTGTTGTTGTTTGGATTCCATTCCCAACAACCGTTTGAGTTCCTTCCCTCGTCGAACGGGTTGTATCGGAAGGGTTTCCTCTTCGTATTCGGAATCGGATTTTCGCTTTTTCTTTCGTTGACCACGTCCCATACTGTTGTCGGGCACTTGGACAACCGAAGGAGTGACCACCAACTCACCGCCACCGTGGCCAGAAGACGTTCCTCCCACCAAATCGTCAAAGGATTCCAATGACAATTCCTCGTCATCAAAATGCGGGACTTCATGTCGATGATGGGTTGGTAGTTCGACTGGTTCTTCGTCGTCGTCTTCTTCCACGCCACTGCTAGTCGTCGACACGACGGGTTTTTCTTCTTCTTCTTCCACAATGACTTGTTCCTGGAGATGACCTCCCCACAGCTTTAACAACTGCTGGGCAAAGACGTGGGCGGGCATTTGGGTCGCTGCGGCCGCATAGAATCGATGACGCAATTGGAGTCGAATCATTTTTTGTCGTTCGTCTTCCGTGGCCGTCACGGGTTCGTCCAATACGGCAATATTGCCATTTTCATTCAACAAGAACGAAATTAATTCCAGGGCGTATTTGTGAACATCTCCGGCTTTGGCTTGGTAGTGAATGTCTTGACGATTGCGTTTCCGTGTTGTCATAATGGGAGGAACGACGAGATGATGGACGGGAGATGACATGACCGCCGTAAACACAACAACAGAAGAGAGGAAACAAAAAAGGAGAGTGGAGGAATGCAACAGTCGTTGCCTTTCGTCGTCTCTCTTTCTCTCTTTCTATGGAATCAAAACACAAGCAGAGCCACCAGTCAAAAATGTCCGCGCAGCCACTGTAGTCTCAACAACAACAGCACAATGACAATGACGAAGACTGCTCTGCTCCGCAACACAAACAATGCCACCTTTCATTGGCTGCAAAAAGTGGGTCATGCGTCCCTCTTCGTTCTTCGCGGTACCCGTAATCGTGAAAGGTGACGGACAGACGAAGCCAATGACAATGCAAACCGTTGAACCGGCGCTTTGGCTGCTAGCTAGCTGGCTTGCAGTGTATATTATTCGATGGTTCTAATCCCAGAGCTACAAGAGCTGCCAGGTAACCTATGCTAGCTAGCTACCAGGTATCCCGCTACCTACTACGGTACCTAGTAGCTAGATTAGAGGGAGTTATTTTCCATACCGGCAAGCTCCAGCCTCCTACCTCTCCTCATCAAGCAACCTCGCCAGCTTTGGAGCGATAAGCGAGACCTGGTGCTGGTGCCAGTACGGTAGTACTACCGGTAGCTATTGGAGGAGTAGGGATCACACTCCAAATGTGCAAGGGGTGGCGATGCCTACCCAGACTTTTATTGGAGCGCAGCAGGCAAGTACAGTAGTAGTCGCCCGGTATCAGCCCAAGCAAGCAAGAAAGCTCCCCTCTGAAGAAACTGCAAGACTGCCAGCCGTTGTCAGGCAGGAACAGCCAAGGTCAAAGCATGCAAATTGCACTTCACTGGAACAGTCAGCGGTGCTGGTATTCTGGCTGGCTAGCTAGCTACACGTAGCTAGTAGCTTGGTTGAGCTATGGTTGGTGGTCCCTCCTTGAGATTTGTTACGTTACACATCACGTGAGGCTGGACCTGAACCGCCTTTCGTCTTTCGCCCGCTGTTGTACTGTACATGTTGTTCTTGGAGCTGGCTACCGGTACCGGTACTGGTACTAGCTAGCTGGCTAGTACTGTACCGGTCTTGAATGGAGGGGCGCCGGCGCGTATCCAACATACCGTAGGGTTGAGGCTAAGCAATCCTTATTAAGTCTTTTTGGAGGTCGCGGTATGTTTTTACGGCTTTCACATAGAGGCTTGATGACAATCTCACCCACCGGTACCCGTAGCCACTCGTAGACTCGTACCAGTACATGTAGGTACTTACTGGAACATGTACCGGTACCGTTTAAGTACCGTTGCACCTGGGCGAAAGGCCTAAGGCCTAAATACATCTGACATCGATGATCAGTGGCGAAAAGGTTTTACTGTAACGACTATTAAATAGACTACTAGCTAGTACTCCAGTATTATTAATTAATAGTACTGTTTATTTATTTATTTACTGTAGACTGTAGACTGGTTCGGGCTTCGCGACCGGTCATAACTCCAGGTTTGAGAATTTTCTCCGAAAAACACAACGCAACCCTCACCGAGAGCCGAGACAGGGAGAGGACAAAACAATCTCAAGCCACACCATGGGCAAATACAAAACCATGTGGGTGCTCTGTTTGCTTCTTTCACTCGGTTTGCACTCCATCCGTGCCTACCCCTATAACGGAGAAACTGCCTTGTTTACCACCATACCTGGCACCCCTGATGTTTCCCACCGCCAAAATGTTTGTGATCGATTTGAAGACTTTTACTTTGGGAAGGTCGAGTTACGGCATGCCCTGGAAGGTCTTGATCTGAATGTAATCTTGGGCTCGTACGACGGAGCCTACTTTCTGTACGACCCTGAACTAGGCATTGATAAAAATGAACCTGGCTTGATCGCTGTGCTCTTGGATGAATTGGGCCGGCGAGGAGGATTCACATGGAGAAATAGCTTTGGAGTCTACACGGACCCAATCAACTATAACATGACGTGGGATGAAATGCTGCGTGAGTGACGACCGTGCAGCCCCTCCGCTAGCTAGCTCTGTTCAGGTTCTCTCTGTTGCTGACATGACATTCCTTCTCTGTGCCAGATTGGTCCATGGATTCCTATGATCTTGTAGCCGGTGAGTAACCGCCCTGACACCCCCTCTGCTGTTCAAGGTCTCTCTTTCTCTGACATACTGTTCCTTTGCTCCAGATTGGTGGATCAACAGTCGAGAACGCATGCATGATGGTGTTGTCTTTGTGGAAGAATTCCTGGATTCCAGTTACATATTGGCGACAAGGGATGTCTTGCAATCCAGCCAGGAGCGCACAATCAGCCACTTTTTCAACTGGCTCAAGCCATTCGATGCCTCGGTTTGGATGATGACACTCATCACCATTTTCCTCAGTGGTTTTATCTACCAAATCCTAGAATGGTATGCTGAGGAACGGGATGATAGAAGCATGTGGGAATGGTGGTCCGAGAATGCCTATCTCAGTTTTATCAATTTCACACAAGCCTACGAGTACCAGCCCAAGACACTGGCTAGCCGCATCTTTGGGGTCAGCATGGCTGTTTGGGCACTCGTAATGACAGCAACCTACACTGCGAATCTTGCATCTCTCCTGGTTGACCGAAAGTTCCAGGGACCTGCAACTATTGAGGAAATTGTTGTTTACCAAAATAAGATCTGTACCTGGGAGGGCACTGCTTCGGATACATATGTTCGTGACACCTACAAAAAGGCAATACGAGTCCCAAAGGTTACGGAGCCTGAAATGTACGAAGGGCTTCTCAATGGTGATTGTCAATTCATTTTGACAAACATGGCTAGTTTCAAAAAGAATAAAGCTATGAGAGAATACAATCCTCGGTGTGACATGCGATTGGTGGGAGATGGAGACAAGGTTGTGCAGGTGGGATCAGGCTTTGTTGTGAGCGCGGACTCTGGCACCTTGTGTACAGGTTTCATCCGTGATGTGCTGAACTTGCTCATGAGGGATATTATTGAAGATGGATTCTTGGATCGGATCTGGGAGGACGAGTACAGGAGGACGCAAACAATCGATTGCTTGACCTATCGTCCAGGTTTGGATTTGCCAAATGATGATGCCGATGATATGGACGCTCGAACACGACAACTGTTGAAAGATCCATACATCCGATCACTGCAGGGCCTGCGGCGAGGGCTCAAGGCGGGCGGAAAGGGTGCCGCGGGAGGGGCCGTTGCGGAGGTTGCTCCCGCAGTGTCCCAAACACTTACTATCGAGCAAATGATTGGGACTTTTGTGTGTCACTGGGGGTTGATGGTCATTGCCCTCGTTGTAGCCCAAGCCAACAGGATGTACAACAGATATTTGAGAAGAAAGGCGGAGGAAGCAGCTATTCTGCTCATTGATATGGGCGAGGAAGCAGCTCATGCCATCATGGATACCATTAGCCATGTGGGTGGCAGTGTCTGTGCTCTCTCTGTCCGTGGTACTAGTAGGTCTCGAATTGGCAAACAATCATCGTTCGGTACAGGCAACATGCTTGACGAAAGTCAGAGTGAAGACGACAAAATTAGGAATATGATTGTGGATATCAAAGGGGAGATAGACACACAAAGCGAGGTTGCCACACAAAATGAGATGGCGACCATGCGATCAGAAATGCAAGAGCTAAGGAGGCAGAATGAAAGTACCGTCTCGGAACTTCAAGGTCTGAGGAGCCTAATTGAAGACCTTGTGGATATGTGTACAGTGCCTGTGGACGGAGTTAACGAATCTTCTGCAACAATCCATGTACGTACGCAGGTCGGTCGAGAAGGAATGGACGAGTCAAACGCAACAGTATCCAGCATCTTGCCTGGTGAATTGCCTGTAAATGAAACGGTGCATGTACAGGTTCCACTTGAAGAATGCAACCCCAACATCTACGAGAAAGCACGTGCTTGCTGAATCAACCAATTTTCGTTGGCTGGTCATCCCAGGCTTATGCGCATCTCCGTGTACGGTATTGCATTCGGATCCATCAACGTGCGAAAAGAGCGTCTCGAGTTTGCCGAGTGAGCGTATACCGGTACTTGTTTTTGCTGCAGCGCCATCGTGGACAACTTCACCAGCACGACTACTGGTACAGCACGAAAGACGAAGGATCTTAAATGAACGAACCTTGCAGCAGCGCCCGGAAGCTTGAAAACGACACCACACACAACCTTGGAGTAGATGCGGAGTGTGAGTGCGAGTGCCTCTAGTATGAATTAGTTAGTAGTGCGATGTCTGATAGATGCTAGATGTTAAGCCCCAAAGACCACCATGGTGATGGTTCCTCACCACAGCGCCACGGCAGTGCCTCTTTTCCCTCCTTGCTAGCTTTGATCTCTGCTTCCACGGCATCCAGAAGAGTTGGTGGGTTGCCTTCGGACTTGACCAGCAGCCAAGTCTTCACGGAGTTTCTTCTGCTTGCAAATGTCATTGGACCGTTTCGACAGTGATGGTTGGGACGCCCATTCAATGATTTCCCCCGTCTGCCGGAATAGCTGGTCCGGGGCAATCATAGATTCCTTCAGCTTGGCCGATTCCTTTTCCTTGGTGGCGAGCTTCTTCTCCAGCTTGTATCTTTTGACTTCGGTCTCTTTGCCGATCTTTTCTTCGAGATCCTTCGTCACGGCGGCGGGATCCTCTCGGTTCCAACGTGTGCAACGCAGTCGATCTTCCAGTGGAATTTCCACCGTCGGCAATAGCTACCGTAATTCATCTCGCAACAAATTTCTTGGATAGTCGAAATCGGTTCAGTTGTATAGAGCTACAGACTACTAGTACTCTGGATCTGCAAGGAGGCGGGTACAACAATTGCAACCCGTAACTATCCCGCGGATTCTTCCAGACAGCTCCAGCCTCCTCTCATCAAGCAACCACTGCCATACGAGGGATCACATAGTACTCCGTTGCGCAAGCCGACTATGGAGGCGAGGCCGGCCCGATCGACCTCTGTTGGAGCTCGGACACGTTAGTATTCGCGAGTGTTTGAGTCGAGTCAATATAATAGATAGCAAGACCACCTTTGATGGGGAGAATTGGAAGAGTCTGCGGACGAACCATCCCTGTGCGCTGAGGATAAAGGTTTGCTACAGTCACACGAGGCAGTCTATTGCATTCTAGCCAGACATAGCAAGCAGCGTCACATGAGTGGTACCGTCTCCCAAGGACTGCTCTGAAAGTCGCTCAGTAGAAAGGAGAGCCACGTGCCAGAGACAAATTGGGCGTTGCCTTGATTTTGGCAGGGACAAAACGGCAACCAGGTGAGCCTGCAGCCAGTTGAGAGCAGGCTTGAGCTTGTGGTGACTGCTGTGGAGTAACCAGCGAGAGATTCACCTTTCGGAGTGCCTAGTAGATTGAAGTTGTAAGGAATGGTCCCTGCCCCTCTAGATTAGCAACTTCGCTTCGCATAAATACATGTACTATAGATGGCAAGATTTTTTGCCACTGGCAGCAACTACCGGTATGCTGCTCCAAGGTTTCACTGTACATTGCAGCAGCCACCATCACTTTGCAGGTTCCTGCAGTCCAACATCCAACACCCTCGAGAAGCTACCGGTAGCTAGAGCTAGATATCTCTTCGTCACGTCGTGTGAAGTGTGTGGTTGTGTGCCAACTTTCGACAGCATCATTCAAGGATGCCCAATGACTGCCTCGCGTGTGTGTGCGTGATGGTGTCAACAATGAAGTTATCGTGTATCTGGGTGTATCGATGTCTATAGTTATTAGTATACTGGTTAGGGTTATGGAGGGAATGTACATGCGTTGGCGGCACCAACAAAGGCGCCAGCGGCTAGAGAGCCCCAAGTAAGTATTCTGTGCAAGCAAGCATCGGTATAAGGATGATGGAAATGTACCGTAAAAGTCACGGAGCGCATTCATCTATAGAGTTCCTTATCGTCGGGTAATTTGCCGACGGGTTGCTTGTTTCTTGGCACTCTGGAAGCTGTGCATACATTCCTTGGCTTTGGTCCAATATTGAGGTCCTACCAGGCCCCGCAATCGGAGTGCCATGGAGTCTTGGAGAGGTGTGAAATGAGGATCACCCATCCTGTTTCGCTTGACACATTCTGCAACGAGCGCCTTTGTCTGCATGGTCAGCTTGTAGTTGTTCGATTGTTCAATGCACTTGATCAAAACACGAACAAACAGTAGAAACTCGCGTCGCCGCAGTTTTAGGAGGGGTTCGATCGATGCTGGGGACGGTCTGCGAACAACAGGAGGTCTTGCGAGTGGCATGACGGCATTAGGGCCAACAGGTGTCCCGATGGGTACAAGAAAAGCAGGTACCGGGATCGTTCTAGTGGGAGAGCACATGGCAGCGGTGAGAGTCGGGTTGATCTTTGCGGATGGAATGTGGCTGAAGGAGAAAACAGCGTTGCTCTGAGTTGAATTGGTAGAATTCATTTGCCGAGTTTTGCAAATTATGTGACGATCGAGGCATCATCAACAAGCAGAGTGAAACATGGGGTGGGAAGAGGAGAGTGCATGAAGCAAGATGACCACCCGGGGTCTTGCTTCATTGCAGGTTCGTGTTGGGTGCAGAGGCAAAAATGGGAACAGTTTGGATCTTTTGTGAAGGAGCAATCCCGAGAACGCGAAGCCCATGTTTCGAGGAACAATGCGGAGAACTTCAATAACAATCCACTGCCCCCTTATTTGGGAAGATGAAGCTCGAACAAGCCCTTGACTTAACGATTAAATTCCGAGGTAAGAAGCAGGGACAAAAAGGCTCAAGCTGAATGACCAGGGTAGCGTACTTTTTTGTACCAGCGTTCCAGCAAGTCAGCAAGTACTCGAGTACACGTACTCAGTGGGCTACCGGTACAGTACGGTAGGTCTACGCTGGCTAGCCGACTACAAAAACGCTTTACTGTAGTGGTATTAATACTGGTACCACAAGTAGCATCCTCTCTTGCATTTGCACCATTCATCATACCGGTATCATGACAATGCTCTTGGCTTTCAATGTTGCCCTGGTTCTATCGCTATCGGTTTGCACTGGCATCCATTCCTCATGCGGCCGGCCACCCTGCCTCGGTCTTTTCGGGCTGGCCACCACTGCCAATTTCGGTTGCATCAGCCAATGGCTTCCAATTGAAGTCATTGGTTAGGTACAAGCGTTGGGTCTGGGCATGAGAAGAGCTCCCAAACAATAGCTTTTGGAAGTGCCAATGCTCCGAACTGTTCAATGAGGAGCAAATAGCTCCTTGCATTTCAGCATTTGGTCAAGGAGAGGTGGTCATTGCAATGCCTCGCTTGCTTCAACGCACTATTGCCTACGATGTACTACCTGGTAGCTAGACGGGCAAATAAAGGCAGGACGATGCTTCCGGTTTGGCTGCTGGTACTGATAAGGACTGCCCTAGCCACAGTAACTGCTAGCACTCTACTACTTGGTGCTCTGCTGCGTCACCACTCGGCATATTCGTTTGGAGCTTGGCAACTTTCCAGTTCGTTCGTTCCCTGGACCTCTGTGGAAACTCGAGTCGTGCAACCGATCGTCTCTTAAATCCTTTTGATCGTCTCCTATTTAATGGATTTCGTCTCCTAAAATAGGAGACGAAACGGATCGTCTCTTAAATCTTTCGTCTCCTCTTGAATCGTCTCCTATTTTCAACGGATCGTCTCCTATTCTCAACGGATCGTCTCCTAAGTGTACCATGTAAACTGTATGGTATCATTTCCTAAATCTTTCGGATCGTCTCCTATTTCGAAACGATCGTCTCCTAATTGGAATGTCTTCTACTGAATCGTCTCCTAAATATAGGAGACGATTGCTTTCGTCTCATAAATCCTGTCAATCGTCTCCCATGCCTCAGTGTATCGTCTCTTAAGTATTTTGCCACGAATGATGCTTCCACAGAGGTCCAGCACCTTTCGAAAAGCTGTCTTTATGGATCTTAAAAAGGGTTTCAACCAAATTACAAACGTCACGTGTTGGGAGAAATTCTTGGTGGTGAGGATCACCCGATCACAAAACCGAATAGGTTGCCGACCAGTTTTTGACGAACCCGCCCCAGATCTTCTCTGGCTTTCTCGTTGCCGTGTGGCAAGCGCCTTGCCTTGTAGTGGATCTTCTGGCAGGGTACGTCAAGGTGCACTACCATAACCAAAGCGAATACCTTTGTGTTGCGGATTCGCCTTGAGAGTTGAGACTGGGTTTACGGCCACTCTTGTTCCGAGAAGAAGGAAGAAAGGGGTCACTTCGCCTGTCTGCGGAGTAGTAAACACAGCCAAAAGCGAATACCTCATACCTCAATGGCTCCCGGATTCCATTGACCCAGGCTACGGTACCGTACGACACGATACTGTCCCAGCGCTGCAAGCAAGGTAGCGCTGTTGACTTGCTGCTTCGTGATTTTGTGCTTCCCAATAGTTCAACGAGCTTTTCAACCTATCCAGGCATTGAGAGAAATACCGAGCGAGAGGTACCGGGATACGTGGCCTGTCGCCCTAGGCCTACTAGTAGTCTTTTGATTCATACGCGTTCTACAAAAAGATCCACGCGGCCCCAAACTCGAAGCCAGACTGGCACAACCATATCCAGTGGATTCGATTCGCTTCGCTTCATTGCCTGCTCGGGTTGCTGACAACTTCAGCTTCAGGTCACTATCAAAGAGTAACCGGAAGACCGGCAATAGACTGCAGCCTGCCTCAGGCGAGCTTCTCATCTCTCCCGAACCGAACTGAATAGCACAGTGTATCCATTTTCTTGACACCTCTAAAGCAGATCCAAAGCCTCTAGAGACCCAGCCGAAGCAGAAGTAAGAAGCAGCGTAGGTCAGTGCGTGTGGCTACCGGTACGATGCAACGATCCTGATGACGGGGGCAGAATATTTGCTTCGAGGGGCGATACCAAAAAGTCAGAGTTCGAGTTTGTGGAGATTTGGCTCCCACGGTTCTGCCTTGGTTCGGATCTCCGCCTGCGCTGCCCTCCACGCCTTGCTTGTGCGTGGGACAACATCGGCGCAGTGTGAGGGCCAATGCGTTGTCCACAGCCCGGGGCCAAGCTGAGGTTGTTGCTTGTCTCAACTTAGGAATTACAAAGTCCCTGGAGGGATTAAGTTCAATAATTAGATTTGAAAACGGTATGTGATGGCCTCTTGCTAGGGCCATCCTGTAACCGTTTGGGGGTATAAAGAGGTATTGTTGCTTGTCTCAACTGTGGTGCCAGTTGCTCGCACTCTAGTAAGAACTCCTTTTAGGTTTTGACATTGCTGTGTTCCGGTCCAAAGATCATTCCTAGCACTGGTATATAGCACTTGAGTTGGGAGGATCCTTCGGTCCAGCCCTGGGGTATGTAACCCTTTGGATTTTTCATTTACCTGGCCTCAGTGGCAGTGGCAGTGATGCTGTTGCTGACAGCTCATATCATACTGATCTGCGCGCATTGTGTCGTCATCAACTTGTCGTTGTAATTCTGTGGACATGCAGGTGTTCCAGGGTCTCCGGGGTGGCACAAGAAGCCATGCAGCACATGTATTTTCCCTCCCGGTCGTGTGATCCCCTCCTTTACCATGACTACTACAGTACTCCACTTCTGGGACCCATAACGTCATCTAGAACCTCTTGGTGTAGCTCTGCACGGTCGAAGGGTTGTTGATGGCTCTCCATTGTAAGAGCAGTCTTGGGCCGATGTGAAGTCTCTTCCCAAAGGATTGTTGGTTGGGTCATTGAATAGTTCCCCGTACTAGTAGGCTTTGGTGCCGACTTTTCCTTCCATGGTCGTGTCCGATGGCGCTGCGTCTTCGAGTGCAACTAAGGGGGTACCGGATGGGTGTGGAGTGACTCAGTCGTCTAAGACTACGGAGGAGGCTGTAGTCGTCGTATGAATGAACCAAACTTATCTCTGGAGCCGATTAACCTATACAATTTGTCTGGCTGCAGGTCCTGTACCTCTTGTGAGGTGAAGAACCCAAAATGTGCATTTTGCTTTTTCAACTGACGTCACCAGTTCTGTTGAGTACCTACATCACAATAGCAACATTCGCTCACCCCCCTACCTATTACGAACGTGGATATCAGCACACGAGTAGCTTGATATGTGAAGAATTCAAGCATCTCACTTTCTGCGGTTTCGATGCCTTTTATTCCTGCACGGCTTTGCACATTCTCCCCACCCACGGCATCCCGCAGACTTCCTTCTCACTCACCGCGTCGCCCATATTACCATCCTGTAGCCCTCCATCCTTCACTGGATCATCCCATCTCGTCTGATGCGAATTCAGTATCATTTCCGACCATGGAGTCATGGAAACGACTTTCTTGGTGCCGGAGGCGCAACAGAACGCCCCGCCGATTTCGTCATTTCCGTTTCGGTGAAAGGGGTGCTCTCGTCGTCCGGTACACGTTCAGGATTAAATGTCATATCATCTCTAGAGCTGTCCGAGTCAGAACACGAATCAACAATGAAGAGGTTGCCCGATGAAGAGTTGATCAGCACTCGACTGGAATGCACCCTTCGTACTCCCCTGGGATATTTGCCGTCATGTTCACCGGGCTTCTCTTCGGCAAACTCGTCAAAGTCTTGAGTGGCACACGACGACGGGTTTCGTGGTCGGGGCCGATCAATTGGAATGTCAGCGATTTCCGGATCCATCAGGTTGTCAGGAGAGCTCGAATCATCGTCTACAACTGATGCAATATGCATGCCCCTGGGGGCTCTCTTAACTCCTTCAGGATACCGACTGGGATTGTTGTGCTGGTTGTTGGCTGATCCATTGAGACTGCTGGACAAGTCCGACGGACGATTCGTGTACTGGTTCGCGGATTCTCGGAGCTGTTGAACTGTGTTCGAATAGGTCTTGGAGGAATCCAGATGGGAAGCCCGCATTGGTGCCGGTGGCTTTCCCTTGTTGAGCACCTTGGGAAGGAACATGAGCCCCAGAACGCTCATGCAAACGACAAATACCAACATGGATTGGACGACGAAGGATGCCGTTGGATTCTTCCCTGCCAAAACCACCAAGGGTGCACCAATGAGCAATGCCTCCAGAATGGAAGCCATGCAAAGCGCAATATATTTGCTCTCGCTGAAATCTGTGCTGAGGTTGCGTGTTTGGTAGGCTTTGAAGTTGGCTAGGAGCACCGCGATCAAATTGATGGCCAATATGAATGAAAGCATCACAGTGGCAACAACGCCGCCGGTGGGTGAGCATTTGCCATATGAACTCAGCTCTCCAGAGTCTGTTCGTCCCGTATCAATCCTTACAAAGACAAGAGGGTCAACAGCCGTCCAAATGGATAGAAACACCACATTCAGGCACAGTAACACAACCAGGGGAAGGATGACATCCTTGATGGTAAGTTCTACCCTTTTGAATTTGCGTGCATTGTCCATGATCAGTTTCAAGCGCCAAATTTTTGAGAACCTGTGAGAAGGAGAAATTAGAGTACGCAAAAACAGTGATTGTGTGAGTAAGTGATTGTGAGGCGGGTAATTGTCCGTGCTTACGTCGCCAAAGTGCTTCAATCAGGCTGCCACTTACAGTGCTGAAAAGATCAAGGTAAATCCAGTGGCAGCCAGCCAAGGTGTCGCCATGCAAGCAATGTTGCAACCCGTTTGGCTAGCCATGGAATCATCCACAGACATTGTCAGAATGGAAAAGCTCATGACAATGGCGCCCACAGCAATCAGATCCAAGAAAAACGGTTGAGCTGCTTTGACAATTCGAGTGCTTCTATTCAGGAATACCCACGCCACACAAGCAATGGACGACACCATGATTATGATCATGAGTGCCAAACCCAGTGGTCGAACCCCCGTCAGTTGATTGAGTGATTCTTTGGGTATATATACATCCCTTAGCCTTTGGTAAACTTCCAGGATGGGGATCTCTGTATCTCCTCGATTGTCGTATGTTTGGATAATGTCGGCCCACTTGGCAGTAAGTGCCTCGGTCACTTGGTTTCGTCTGTGGGGCAAATCAAGGTATTCCTGAGCAAACTCGCCCGCGTCTCGAATCTTGATCAAATGATCATGGACAAGCTGGTCCAAGATGCCCATAATTTCGGTAGCTGCCGGTGTGCGCATATCGACGGCCAAGTTCTTGGACAAGGTGCTTTGCAGTACGGTCACCTGATATTCTTTTGCCGAGACAGCATCGTACCCTTGTTCGACCCACTTTTCAACCTCCAGTTGACTCTTTCGGAAGGGATCCTGGCTGTTCAATTGTGACCACGGCGTGGACGCTTGCGGAATGACCCCCTTCAGCGCTTGGTTTTTGGCACAAGCAAACAGAAAGAACTCTGCGACCAGACGTTGCTTTTCCGGTTCGGCATTCGCTGAGACTGCCCCGGACCAGCCTCCATTCGCCAAATACGGAGCGTGGTTGACCCACCCGATATCCTCGTAGAAAGTGCCATGCTTGCAGACCTCCTTGGTACAAGGACTGAGCTTCATAGTCTTTCGATCAAGCACCTTGGTGGAACCGGGTGTGGGATAGACCCCCAATTGTCCCGGCCCAATGACACTTCCTTGAGCTCTGTGCAACTTGTAAGTGTCCCCCCAACTGTACGTGAGAGCACAAGTGCCATCGTTCATGTGATGGCTGTGCACTTCATGTAGATTGAGATCGTCAAATTCCGTGACCACTCCATAGAGCGCTTGCTGTTCCAGAATGCGGAGCGTTTCGACAAAGGCTTCCCCTGTGAGCGGTTTCATGTCCTTGGTATCAAACATGCTGCCTGTAGTCGGTCCATCGGTCTGAGTGATACTCGCCAGAATCAAGTGACTCCAGTACTGTCCATGACTACCAATGACGCGACTGACACAGGATCCACTGAGCGTAATGTTTTGATAGACCTTGCCATGCACTGCCTTTGCCACCGCATTGTATTCATCCCACGTTCGTGGCACATCCAACCCAAAGTACTCCAGCACATCCTTGCGGACGTACATGCTGTGAATGTCTCCATCCAGCGGCAGCATGTAGATCTTGCCTTCGAACTGCGCCACGTACTTACGAAATGGCAAGAGAATGTCCGTCCAGTCCAAGTCCGCCTGCTGGGAGCTGTGAATCTGAGGGGCCAGGTCGACAAATCCCCCCAGCGGAGCCACGGTCCCCAGAATGACCGGATTGGTAAAGTAACCATCAAAAAAGCCCCCGCCCGACTTGGCGTCATTGATAATGTCATTGTACATGGCGGGCATGGTAATGCTGGGAGAAACCTTGATCTGCACGTCAATCCCGTCGTTGTCCGCTTTGCCGTTTCGGTAGGCTTCAAAGTCGCGGGCGGATTCTTCCACGATGGAAAAGATGTTCCGCGCATGCAGCGCTACAAGATTTAGAGTCACGGTTCGTCTGGTACTGGAGTTCGTGGCAATGGTGAAATTGTCATCCTGGCAGGCACACACTGGCTCCTCCTGCGTTCTTCTCTGTCGTTGAGTTGACAAAAGACTGTCACTCGAGCTCGGAAGCAGCTCCCGAGTAGACGGCAGCAACACTACTAGCAACGCAACAAGAGGAACTACTACTAGTAACAACCCAGAGAGGATACGCTTTTCTCTCTTTAGCCTTTGGATCTCATCTTGCTGCGGCTCCCGGTGTTGCTGTTGTTGTTGTTCCATCATGGCATATTTCCCAGAAGTATTGTAAAAGTGAGGGCTGAACAAAGATACGGCTGTTGTGCTGCTTAGTTTTTACGTGGAATGCAACGGCTTGAATTCGTCCGGTAGAGATTTCTGGAGTAAACCACGCGACACAATGTCATCATACAAGAGCAAGATGCTTGAATAGTTTATGCAATGTTTTATCCTCTACTGGAGTAGTAGACTATGTCGAGGTAAGCGGTCTCAATGTCTCAATGTCTCGCATCGTTGGGTGAACTGGCAAACTTTAGTAGTCTAATTTTAATTGGTCCCTTCCCTTGTAAAACCGATTTTGGTCGTAAATTGGGGTAAATGTTTTAATTTTATTAAATAGACTCGAGTAGAGTAGTTAGAAAAAACATTCACATGCTAATGAGACTGCTCTTCGTTCTAGCTGGTAGCTACCGGTAGTCTAGCTAGTACCGGTAGGAGTATGAAGTATGAAGTATGATTCCTTTTTCCAGTATTGACTGAACTTTTTGGTAGCACGTGTACCAGTACAGCTGTGGTACCAATGGCTATGATACTAGTATGGCTCCTGCGATCAACCAAATACTGCCGTAGAGCTATGTAGAATGAGTACTAGCATGGCTGGCTCGAAATGGAGAGTCTGAAGAACAGAGCTTTATTTAACGACACCACTCAAATTCACTTAAAGGACATCTATATTATTATTATTATTCTTTCTTTTTCGTGCCTTGGTAACAGCACATCATCTGCTATCGAAGAGCACAACACCACCATGACGTCCTCTTTCCTCTTCTTCCGTCGCTGATACTCCTCCGTCGCTGTTCCACTGTTATACTATTCCATCACTCTTATACCTCTTGTTGCCTATGTTGATCAAAGCTCACCAATCGGCCTCATCTTCCGGGAGAGACGCCAAAAAGCCGTCGTCATCGGCGGTGGCAGGAGCAGCGGCAGGAGCATCGGCAGGAGCGAACGCACCAACCACTTGCGTCAATCCTTGACCAGTGACATCCTCGAATGCTCCGAAAGTAGAGTCCGTGGAGTCAGCTGATTCGATAGACTCTCGAGCTTTCTTCTTCTTGGCTTCCATGATCTTGCGGTTGAAACTGATGCCACCAAAAAAGAGAGTGATGTTGACCTTGCGACCGTCTTCAGTGGTTGTCTCAATGGCGTCCATGGTGTGCTTGACAGAGGTGACAATGGCATGGCTGCTGATGAAGGTCATGACTGCATCCAACTCACTCTGGGAGAATGGGTTGTGATGGATGAAGATGTGGTTGGAAAGAGCATCATCATTGTCATTAAAGAGAGCTTCATTGATGCGTTTGGTGAGCCTCTTCATTTCACTGTAACCAACCTTGTCATCAGATGGAGAATGGAATGCCTTGTTGCTGACCATGATGTTGCTTTGGTTTGGTTGATTGGTCGAGGAGATTATGAGGAGACGACCGATTCATTCCTCTCAGGACGGCTGATCCTCTCACGACGATTTTGAATTTGAATTTGAATTTGCCGCGGCTTTGGAGTGAAGGACTCGACGCACGCATTCGACGACATGCAGTCCACAATTCTTCCACCGACGACAGTCAACAAGCCACCGACAACCACAATCAACCTACAGGCTACAATTCCACTGCGGCAACAGCACCCACCGACGGCAACATCCAACAAGGTACCGACGACAGCAACAGCCAACAAGCTACCGACGGCAACATCCAACAAGCCAGCCACCGCGACGTGCACACAAAGAAGCAGCAATGAATCAGCTTTGGGATCCTGTCATGGCTGATGCTGGGGATGGACATACAACTGCCATGGTCTTCCAGTGCAATGTAGCCTATTGGATGGCTGATGGCTCCTACAAGGTTGTAGCTGGTCAGGGCTCCTTTCAGAAGTTGCGGGGCTCATCTTGCCAGTTTCGGCTTCAAGTGGATGGAGCTTGTGACTCCACCGTCTCTCACTTGTATTTGCCGCCTCTAGCCGACTGGAGTATTAACAAAACAAGAGCCGTTCAGACGATGAACGGTGCTCATGGACCGCAGAGAGCCTTGGTTGATGTTGTGACGTTTGCGGGAAGCTTTACCATTACGAAACTCCAAGTTACAATGCCGTTCCACGGTGAAAACAGGCGCGTTGCAAAGCTGTTCCGTCCTGCTCTTATTCATGCCGACCAATCCAAGCGTGAAGCGATGGCCTAGTCGAAAAGCAAGCTGACAACTCATTGCTACGACTAGCACGGAATGACGTTGGTACAAATTCTTACTCGTTTGCTACACTATCCTATAAACCGACAGCAGCAACTCAACCGAAAACCAGGCTAGCGGTATCCATAGCTAGACAATAACCTCATACTTAAGCACTCTTCCTTTGTTCCTTTCTCATCCAGTCTTCGATACTCTCACTGCTGGTGAATGATATCTTCTCCTCTTCGTGATCAAACATGGCGATACCTCGGTGCCGCTTATACATTTTCTGGGCTGCTCGTATCGTCGCAAACTTCAGCTCGGATTGCTTCTTTCGCATCGTCTCAATCGACACCTCTCCAGTGAGCGGGTTTGTGCTGCCGGTTCCATCGTCTCTGGCTGCTTCCACTGCGTGCAAAAGCAAATAGGCAATTACAAACTGTCGCGCCTTCCGTGCACAGCCTCGCACCGTTTGTTTCGTCAGCGTCTTCTCACTGTCGAAGCACACATCCAAGACTTGCTTCGTGAAGCGATCCTTTCCTTTTCGTTGTGGCAATGGGATCCGAACAAGGCAGTTCTTTGACACTGACCACACGTATTCAATGCCAACACCGGCAATTTCTGGATGGCACTTCGGAGAGAAGATAACTCGCCATCCATACTGCTTGGCTACCCACTCTAGCATAGAGATTTCCTTTTTGAAATCATCGCATCCTTGGAGCAGCATTCTGAGGCTTGTTCCCTCGATCAACTTGCCTTCGGCATCTTTCCTCCCAGGCATCGTGTAGTGCCCTTTTCGTCTCTTCACAAGCTCCAAGTCAACCAAGCCTCTCTCAATGCACATTTGCAGAGCTCCTTTTGGAGTGTTGACCCATCCTTTTTGCTGCTTGACTTCCTCAACGGATAGATCTATGCAGTGTTGATTGGCAATGTCTCGGAGGAACGCTAGGGAAGTGCGCGAGGGATCAGATGGAAGCCCGGCAGTGTTGCTTCCAAGCTTGTGGATCAGGTGAGCGTGGATTTCTTTTTTAGACCGTAGAGCTCTCGTCGCAGTTTCACCCTCGAACACTTGGTCATATTTGGTTGTAGATTGCTGTTCGGAGGACATCCAACTTGGGCCTTGGTCGTCCTCTGAAAATACACATCGCTGAACCGCACCAACAGAAAGTCTACATCCGTTGTTGTCAAAAGGACCAAGGCAGCCTTCCGTCAGAGTGGTTTCATGCATCTTTGGTTGCTGCCCACCAGGCTCTTTATTGAGACGAGATGCGTCCAAACCATCCTTCCGCTTTGCTGTGTGTCCTTGGCTGTGGTCGTAACATATAACGTGGTTGTGGTGAGGGTACATGACAGCAGCCATATCTGCGATATTTTCGAGCTGGACGATAGTGTGGTTGTTTGTCCAGTAGCCTTCATTGTTCTGTCCTGGGTGGAGAGGCCACCGGCAGCAACGACTCTGGATATCCTTTTCTGTGAAGGGACGCTTGGCAGCGCTGCCGTGGACAGCAATGGCCGCATCTCTAGCAACATAGTCTTTGCCAGCTCTGTTTGCATTAATCAATCGTAGCTGTTCTGGTGTTGGAATAGGCATCCAGCCTGCCTCCCTGCTAACCACTCCAGATATCATGATAGAGCAACCAAGGTCCTTGGGTCGGAGCGCTTGTTGTCCCTCTGACCCATACCACGCCATCGAATTCATTGCCTTCTCATTCGACACAACTTCGTCTTGCCCCCAAACAATTGTACGTCTGGCATTGGCGGGCAGTCGAAGGCTGTAGTTTCCTCCAAACAGATTCCCCTGGAGCTCCGGAAGATTGTGAGAGTCCACAATATCGTCAACATGAAATTCAATCAAGGTTTGACCTTGCCAGAGAACAGGAACACCATCATTGTTGGGGTAGATTCGATTGTCCTTTTTCAGTTGTTGTACTCTGATTGGAACCAGCTGAACCCAAACAGCGGAGTGTAACTCTAACTTCATCAACTCGATACAGTACTCTATCCTTGAAGAGACGACGTCAGGTCTCTCATGAATGTCTGTATAAAAGCCCTTCTTGTATAGGCTCCTCTTAAATCCAAGGAATGTCAACCAACGGTGAGTGGTGTTGCAGCAAATATTCTTTAAACCATTCGACTGTAAGAATTCCTCCACAGAAACACGTTCCTTGGCGGCAAGCTTTGGAATGAGTTTAGCACGGAGAAACTCTTGCATAAAGTCAACAGACAGTTGTTGAATGTGTTTGTTGCCGTGGTCCCTCATTTCAGTTGCGGCCTCTGGATGGTTTACAAAAAGGGATATCCCGATACGCTCACTCATCAGTGGGTTGTTGAATCGACGATGCTCCCGAAACTGCCGAAGCCACTCTTGGATTGCCTTGTAGTTACTGATGGATTTGTCTCCGGTATTGGCTTGTACAGCAACCATGGCTTGCTCGCACTTGCCCTTCCAACAGAGTGGCTCATTCTCGGCGTCAGCTTCCAGCATAAGAGTTATTGCTCGGAGCAAATAATACGATTTGATCTGGATAGCATGAACAAGCTTGTCAACTCGGTTGGGATCAAACTTCAATTCAAGCGGCTCTCCATCGTAGTTATCAATAAAATATGTTGGAGGATCATCCTTGGCAAGCCCAACGATAAGATCTTTCGCAGCACCTGCAGTCTTGACTCCTTCTATCAAGAGTGCTTGAATGTTCCGTGCTGCCTCCTCTGCTGTTTCGTTTTCCCCAGCTCCAAACAACTTCTCAGCTTCCGTAGAGTACCAAAAGTTGCACAGCTTGTAGAGCCCCAAGGGTAGATACGGGCGTATTGATAGCCTATGCGTTTCCAGTAGGTTCAACCAACCGGGAGCATTTGACGTCGCCAGTGGAGGTATCCAAGGAACTGTTGCAGAAAAATCAGCGTACACAGCAGTCGTTTCTTTGAATGTATGGATATAGATTCCCTTTGACCGATCTTTCATTGAACCTGCATCAACGCAATTGTGCTGCAGTAGGCCAGCAAGCGCTGTTTCAACGGTAAATTGTAGCTCATAGCTTCCTTCAATGAGAGGTGATTTGGGATGGAAGTTGGCCAGACGATGGCAGACATTCACTGCTGTGGAGAGCAGCCACCAACGACTCTGAATCGAAGTATTCTTCTGGAACAGTGCTACCACCGACTTGGCCATAATTTCGGCATCGATCGGCAAAGAATCAAACAGAACACGTGATGTAGCTCTTTGGTTGCTTCCAGTATTGACAATCGCGGGTCTTTTCACAGCTGGAGTCAAAGGAGTTCCATTTACTGGAGTCCTCTGGCTAGATCTCCTCTTTTGGTGGCCAGCAGCAGCGACTCGTCCTGTTGCGTCTCTTTGTAGAGAACACTGTGTCGGTGACTCGTAGTGTCTCCTACCAAGAACAAGGCGCGGTTGAGAGATGCCGTTACTGGCGGACACTCTTCTTGATCCTCTTGTTGCATCTCTTTGTAGGGAACTGTTTGTTGGGGACGCATAATTCCTACCGCTAAGCACAATACGCCTTGGAGAGATGCCGTTGTTTTCCTGGTTGGTAGTGGAAGATCGTTTTGATCGTCTTGTTTGGACCACCATGGCAGCAGAATATACACCACAGCGACCACAGCCTCATGCACCACAGCATCAGTCTATGCATGGGCGGCATGGTCAAGAACATCCTCTTGCATGCCATCATTGGCATGGCTCACCTCCAAAATTTTGCCACATGATGTGCAACTCCTTCAGTTTGGAAAATCGCCTCATTTCTCATCTTTCACGGCTATGGCTAGACCAAGATGGCTGATGCACAAACCAAGGCTATTAACCCATCAACTGGGTTAATGGCAAAGCTCTGCAATGATGACAACAACAGTATCAAGGTTGAAGCCTATCCGCATTGACAATATCGTCTCCATCTTCCTCTCCTCTCCGTTGATGTGATGTGGACTGATCGATCGAACAAACGGAGAGGAGAGGAAGAAGAACAAAAGCACGAAACGCATTAGGGTTGGTGTTATCGGTTATCATGCCTTAAATGAATTTGAGTGGTGTCGTTAAATAAACATTGTTCTTCGGACTCTCCATTTCGAGCCAGCCACGCTAGTACTCATTCTACATAGCTCTACGGTGGCACCCTTCTGGTCGCAGGAGCCATAGTACCGGTATGTCAATATGTCAATACAAAAACTTTGATTCAATCATTTAGTCGCACCTCTGATCCTTCCAGGGCTCGGTGCCATGCAATTCTTTTCCGCCGCCAACTCCGCAGAAGCTACATAGCTAGCTAGAACTCGTACACCTTACTAGCTTACATTTTGTTTGGGACAGACCTGTTCGGGGTAGGTGGGATGTTGAACAAGGAGGAGCTCCGCAAGCTGCTTCACATGTACATGGTGGACCTCAGGGGACGGTCCGACATCTTTGCACGCAAAGTTTTCCGGACTGTTAACCTGCTCGCTCGTCCTTTCGTTGTGGCACAGTGGCTTACCTTTACCCACTGACATCCATGGAGATGCAGCTATGCCATCGTTACTCGCTTTGCTAACTACATGTGAAGACGCTAAGGGACAAAAAATGCTGTTGTTGTGTGCCAAATGCTTCATCGTGCACTGCCCTAAGAGCGATCTATAAATTATCAGGTAGGAAGTACAAACAAGCAAAGCTGCCATCTTATGATGCACGTGCGGCAAGCTGCTTGGGCGAACCGTCTTGTCCTGAATTGGATCGGCAAAGGTTCCGGCTTGAATTGGATCGAAACGATATGGTGCTTCCAACCAACAGCGCAAGACGGTTGTCCCCTTGCTCTTCTTCCGCTGGTTCTCTCTTCTCCTTCTTCCCTGATGAAGCTCTTCGACTCTGCAGTGTCTCCAAGTCACTTCTGCAACGTGCCAACCCTCGCTTCCCCGTGTCCGGTTCAATATCAACCTCGGCGGCACTACATAAACCACGAAAACTGTTGGAAAAACCAAGACGGCGGCGCTGAGACCCTTCGTATGCCGAACCATCCAAGTTTCTCATGGAAGCACTTTTCCTGTTTAGTAGCCTCCTGTTTTGGCGCCTGATTGCTGACTGATCCTTTGACATGCTCCTGTTCGAGTCTTGTCGCAGAAGATTTCTGTTGTTGCCAGTAGCCCTTGCCGAGAAGTCCATCGCTTGGCGCCTGGATGATGGATCCTTTGACATGCTCCTGTTCGAGTCTTGTCGCAAAAGATTTCTCCTGCTACCAGCCCTTGCCGAGAAGTCCATGGCTTGTTCCGACAGGTCCATCATCAGCTTGCGCGTAGAGTCCCGCTTCAGGATGTTTTTGTTGGAGTTCTGCCTCATCATGTTCAATCTGTCCACTTCCAGAACTTGTTCCGAACAGTCCGGGAGGAGGCTCCTCGCAGAGACATCGCGGACCAAGTTTCTACCCGAAATCTGCCTCATCATGTTCAACCTTGAAATCGACTCATTGTTCAATGTTCGCTTTGATTCATTGAGGAGGTTCCTCTCGGATGTCTGTTTCAACAACGACCCCAACGTCCGAAATGAATCACTCATGAGATTTCTCATCGAGCAACCTTTGTAGTAGTGGTTTCTCGAGGACTTGTCGTCCATGAGGTCCCTAGCCAAGTTTCCCATTGATGAAACTCCCCTGGTGCCCAACAATCCCGCTCTCCTGTCTAGTCGAGGTCCCGACTGGAAATCTCCCGCAAAGTTGAGTGTGGAAAAGTTCCTCTTGGGCTTGGTGGTTCGTCTATTAGTTGCCAGGTTACCGAGAGAATTGTTAAAGTCCAATGTAATACTGTCGTTGTTGGAAGATGCTTCTTGAGAAGGATCCGAAATATCTCCCATGACATTTCGGAGCGAATGAACTCGCTTCATGCGTTGGTTTTCCCGTCGGTGATCTGACTCTGAGAGTTCACTGCGCTTGAAACTCTTCATGGAGGAACTTCGCGGCAGAGCGCCGGTCTCTGAAACTTCACGCAAGCTGGTCTGCTTCATCGAGGAGCTTCGGGCCAGAGCTTGCTGTCGCGCTTGTCGTCTCGAACCTATAATAGTAGTGTTGATGTCACTCATGGAAGACTCTTGCATCTTTTTGAGCGAGGAGAGTCTTGTCAATCGTCGGCGGGTGTGATCCTTGGTGGTCTCCTCTTCTCCCATTCTCTGTTGGCTCATCCTCCTCCAGAACGTAGGTCTCTGAGCACTACTAGCAGAAAGTGGAGGCGCTAAATCCCTTGGAAGATCTCTTGCTTGCTGCTTTGTAGTAGTAGATGCGGGAGATTCTGGCTCTGGTTGCTTGCGTCCCCGACAAAACTTGCTAGTGTCCACGTAGTTGCTTTCTCCTTCCTCCTCAGTTTTCTTGTCCGTGCTAAGAAGAGTCTGAGGATGGCAATCATCATCCTCAGTTTTAGCAGGACCAACAGCATCAATCGTTGACACTATCATCCCCAACTTGCCCTTGTTAAACTTGCGGGTATCCACAAAGTGACAGGAGGGGCCCAAATCATCTTCCGCCGCTACTGTGGATGTGATCGTTGTTTCCCCTTCTGTGCGCTCCGTCATGTCCAGCTCGTTGCACTTGGTCCAGAAAAAGCTGTCGTCCCCGTTGACTGGTTCCTCTTCCTCCTCGTCTTCTTCGGCAAAGAGGTCGGTCAAGGACTTTTGAAACTTCTCCGCGTAGGTTGGCTCGTGCTCAGTGGTGGTACTAATGCTACTACTCGTATGATCCCGAGTATAGGACGCCCCCATGCTACTCCGTCGTTTGATGCGAAAGTTGATGCGGCTCTTGGAGTCCTCGAGCTCTTCTTCCTCGTCCACTTCCGGCTGGGTTTCCATCAAGGACATGGACCTGCGATACTGATGATGGCCGCCATAGGTTGCTCTTCGACACGGCAGAGACCGTTTCGAAACCTTGGTCGGCACGGGAATCGTCCTCCGCCGTTGCTCCGTAGAGCCAACCACAGCACGAGTGCGGGTATAATCCACCAACAACATGGCAGCTGACTTGTGGCGGGCCTTTGCTGCTGCACCGCTCTCTCGTTTCATGCTGGTGCGATTGTGTAAAGTAGTGGTGCGAGGATTGGTTGTAAAGCCGCTGTCGTTCCACAGAACCAGAGTTTCCAGACCAAAGACCAAAGCGGCTTCTCACCTCTGTCATCTTTCTTTGGGTGCCGTAGGAAGGAGATGCAGTACAGTACGTACTCACATGGAATTAAGGGCTTGCCAGCTCACTACGAGTGACCCACGAAGAACCACGACATTCAGAAAAGGTTCTGGTTTGAGATTTAATAAGCATACACGAGTTCGACTTTGAATCTTGCATTATTAAATGCAAGTGTAATCAGGGTTTATGGGTACGACACCCATTTATGACTCTCCGTCTTCGTTCACCTGTTCTCTTCAAGATCAGACGGAGTTAAATGCGGGGCTGATGAAGTGTGATCGTTTCTAAATAAGCGTGAAGTGCTAGTTCACGTGTATTGTGCCAGTGGTGCCAGTTAGCTCAGCAAGTGCATTCAAACAATTAAAGTCAGCAACAGAGAAGGACTACCAGCGTTCGGCACGAGTACCGGCATCCGCCATTCCAGATCCCAACTATTGACAGGAGCCAACAGCTCATCAACCATCCTAACGGCGTTTCGGGGGGCTGCGAAACACCTTGATGAGACTTGAGACGGCAGTTTTAGTCTCCTAGTAGTTGTCTTGGGAGCCGTAACTCGTGAGACGACACAACTAGTATGGTAGCAGTTGTCTTGGACGTGGTGAGATTGGATCCTTACTGGTAAGGCGCTCGTTGTTGCTCTCTGTTGGCTTTTATAGATAGATATTATCTTGTGCTTCGGTCCCTTATTCCTATATGCCTATAGGGCTATAGGGCTGGCTAATGGCTACGATGTACTGTAGATGAGTGGAGCCAGCTACTCCTAGCTAGTATCTGTAAAACATACTCCACCACCTCACCGAAGTCACCATGACTTGTATAAGGCCTTGGGAGGTTGGGAGGTAGGGGAAAGCACCAGGTCTACCACAAACAGGCTTTTTTTGATCTCAAGACTTTCAACTTTCAAGACCAAAGACCAAACTAGTCTAACTACTGAGTATCCCAATTTCAACGAATTCAAAGGAGTGGGCTACACTCTTGAACTCACGTTTAGTGCACCTGTTGGTAGTCACCCGTGGTCGCTCGTGGTCTCTTTTGGTCTCTGCTGCTCAACCATGGCACGCACTACTACTAGACAATTAGAAGTAATAATAGTAGATTGGCTTCCTAATGAATAGCCAATCGAGGTCAACCATGGTCAATAATTGTTGTGTTAAAAGGATGGCCAGCCGTTGTCAAGGGTGATCAACCATGGTCACGTGGTCGATGAAAGAAATAATAAGTGACCGTTTATCAACAGCTTCGACTCTTCGACTCTTCGACTGACAGTTGACAGCTGTGGGTTGACCATGAAAACAGCCATTTTCCCATCTCCCCAAAAAATGAGTCCGAGTACGTAGTGGATCCAACCGGCAAATAAAAATGCTTACCGGTGAATTTGATCAGCTATTTGATCCTTGAAGCTCCAAAATGGGCCAGGAAGGAGGCGACGATGGCAGCCATCGCCTCTAATTCACCCATTCACGGTTTTGCCACAAACGGTACGCTTCACTCCACAACTCGATCACTCCATCCGTGGCTGCATGGCTGCATGGCTGCATTGTTCATATTCTCATTCATCAGCTATTCATACATCTAACGGAAGCAGCATATTCTTTGTTAAGGTCTTGTGGCTGGCCAGTTATTTATTTGTGGTCCTCATGATCCTCAAGGTTGATTCGATTCGTTTGTGGTGCTCTTCTTTCTTGCTTGTAGTAATAATTCGTTCAAGCAACTTCGGAAACCCTGATGTTTTGCCAATCTAGACTATCTACTAGCTAGCTAGGCATCATTGCCTTTGAGCTTCTTTTAGATGGGGATCCGATACCTCTAATTCAATGCGTTTGTTGCTTGCGGCACGCTGTGTCTGTACTGAGTATCAATATTCTTCCCATCTCCTATCCAAAGTTTCCTCTACAAAGTAAACAATTTGAGCCAGTCAAGTCCACAACTTGCTGTCCAACAGGCAGATGTCATTCATGTTGGTGCCGTTCCATTGGGCTCTTGGGTCCTAGTTCTCCTTGTTGTTTGTTGGAGCAAGAAGAGGCAGCACTACAGCGTAGTTCGTCTGGTTTGTAAAAAGAGCAAGGAGTGGTTCCCCTGGTCTTTGCCAGTTGATGAGTTATGTTGCAACAGCTGTTGTAAAATTTCATCGTATCGTCCTAGAGTAGTTGGCAGCTGTGGTAAAGTGTTTCACTACTAGTTTTAATGCAAGAGCTACCTACACGCAGCCACTTCCAACATGAGGAAGCCTCGTGTCAGATGTCATGATCATCTAGGATTCCATAACGACGGCGAAGGTCCTTGAGTTCTGTTACCAGATCCGTATGTTCCTCCTCCAATGAGGGATGAGCCTTCATTTCATCCCAGAGTTTGACACGTTGGTTGCGAAGGGATTTCTTTGTCTTGCGGAGTTCAGCTTGATCCTTCTTGGATCCCAAATCCAGAATCGAATCAATCAGAAAATTGCAGTTTGTAATCTCCTCTACAATCTTGTTGAGTTTCTTTTGTGTCTTGGTCTGTAGAGGGGTAATCATGTTGTAAAGATCAAGAATGGCCTTCTCCAAATCAGCGATAGCACTCTCAGATTCGTTGATGATTGGATTTGAAACAATATCATTATGAGCCGAGGTTCTGGTTCTGTTGGAGTTTGCTCCCCAGTAGTTTCACTCCCGGGTTGACTCGACTCCCATGACGCGCCCGTGTTAGGAATACAGTACCAGGTATTACTGTTAAAATAGTACCGGTATCTAGTATTTTATTTAAAAAATAGTACCGGTACATAGATGCGGCTCAAACCATTCCTGGGCATTGATATTTTCATTCTTGTTTTATCCACGTCGCCACGCCACGGTGGACGTGGCCACCAATGACGAAAAATCCGGAACCCCCCTCATTTTTTCGATGATTGAGACGAGTACGTCAACCATTGCTGATGTTACTGTTTTGGAAGTGGTTGGAGTTTTTGAGAACCACAGACAGAACAATTGACCAATAAAAGAAGTCACCGAAAGGATCCTTTCTCCGCCTTGATCGGTGTTGTACGTTATTGCACATGTATTGAAGATTCGTTGCAGACAGCCAAGGTTTTCTCGCATCTCGCAGAACACAAATTTTCTGACCAAAAGACGACGAATCCAATCATCAACAAATAAACTTCTAGCTCGCTAGCGAGTATCTCACTTCCACTTGAATTGTATCCAAGTTTGATTGAACAAAGAAAGAATGAGGCCTCTACTATCCAAAATTAACAAGAATGACGAGTACAAGTTTATCCGTGGAGTCAACCTGGGCGGGTGGCTGGTGATGGAACGATACATTACCCCGTATTCGTTTTCCATTACGGACTGCCACCAACGGGGCGACTTTTGCTGGTATCCGGGTCAAATTGATGCTCCTCCAAATGCACCCCTTTGCAATATCACCGAGTGCCAAGCCGCCTTGTCCAAAAATGTGTTTGGCGCGACCGATTATCCATTGGACGAATGGCATTTGGGACTCGCATTTCAAGGCAGCAATCAGACGCAACACGGCGAACAATGGCTCAACTCGCATTTTGCACATTTCCTTCAAAAGAGCGATCTGATTGCCCTCAAGAAAGCCGGCATTTCGCATGTCCGTGTCCCTCTGCCACATTGGATTCTGGGCAATGTCGACTACGACAACGACGAACCCTGGATTGTGGGAGATCGGTGGAAGTACTTTTTGCGCATGTGCGGTTGGGCTCGCGAAATTGGACTCGAAGTGTGGCCCAATATCCATACCGCTCCGGGATCTCAAAATGGATTTGACAATTCCGGACAACAAAACTCGGTCAAAACGTGCGGTGGATGGAGCGACAATCCGCACAACATTCAACGATCCCTCAATGTGCTCCTCGAAGTGGCCGCGGCCATTAAACGAGCCAACATTACGGATGTCGTGACGGGATTTGGACTCCTCAATGAACCCTTTGGAGATTGTTCTCGCGATCGATACAAACAATTCCTGCAAGATGGCATGAACATTATTCGTTCCGTGTTGGGAGACGATATTGGAATTTACATGTCCGATCTCTTTCAGGCTCATCTGTTCAATGATGGCACATGGGGACTCGATCCCGACACATTCGGCAATACGTACTTGGACAGTCACTACTACAATATTTTCGCACAGGCCGTGCGAGTCATGTCGCCCCAAGAACACATTGATTTGGTCTGTCATCCCCATGACGGCGAAGATGTCACGGACTGTTGCTTTGAAGATGCACCGCATAACACGATCCCCAGTCAAGGCACGCAGCGCATTGTAGCCGAATGGAGTGGTGCGTTCGATGCCATGCCGGGAGAAGTTCTCAAACCCATTATGAAATCCATTTACGAGTACGGCGTGGCACCCCTCCTGAACCGGACCATTACCCCGGAACGCAAGTCCTTTTTGACCAAATTCATTCAAGCACAGATTGTGTCGTACGAAACGGCGGCTATTCCTGGATTGGCCCATGGATGGTTCTACTGGAATTTCAAAATGGAGGGTGGAGCCTATCTGGAATGGGATTTGCGTAAGTACATGTTTGTGGTTTGGATGGTGGATTCAGCCATTGCATCATGGTGTCTCTGTTTTCTAACTCTAACTAAATGTCTTGTCGAATTCTGTAGTCAAGGGCGTGGAACAGGGATGGTTCCCTGAAATTGCTCCACCCAATGTCCCGAGTGAACGGCTCTACGGAACTTGCATGGAGATTCGTGAGCGCACCAATGAAACGCAAGACATTGTGCATGCGTATCCTTGGGGCGATCCGGCTTACTGGAGGGGCCCCTTGGTCAATGAAAGCGACAGTCTCAGAGGGGACGACGACCTGCAACAATACCAACCCATTAACCACCACTACCTTTCCGGAATCAAGAACCAAGTTGCAATGATTGCGCTCGCCATTTTGGTGTTTATCGGTGTCCGTCGCTACCAAGTCCGCAAGAATAGCAAAAAGTGGCAATACGCAGAGATTCAATCGTAGGTACAAGAAACCAGGCAGACACCGAGCAATGACACTACAATCAGTTTTAGTTTTTTCCAACCAGGGTGAAGGGAGCTCTATATTTTTGTTTCCATCCCTCCAACCACCCTTCCATTCGCGAGAGTATGAGACGACGAGTATGAGACTCTTTCAGAGTTTGTGGCACTATACAGCGGGCCACTGATAGATTTTTAGAATTCTCTTGGTAGCTGGAATTCCAGACATAACAATACAGCTATCTATTTTGTATACCCGGAAGAGTGCAGCGTAGCGATATGCATAGTAACTTCCAAAATTGGTGTCCATGGATGCGTAGTCTGGGCAGACGAACACTCCTTGGTTACCCCCGTTGCGGCCCTTCTTCCTGCGAAGTTTCTCATTCTTTTGTTTCTGTCGTAGCCCCACTGTTTTGTGTGTACACCAACACCTCATATCCTCACCGCACCGTGCTTGTACTACAGTAGGATGATGTCAACAGCAGTTATGAACTGATCCCGTACCCCTAAATCTTAGTGGTTGATTGATTGATTGGGACGCCAACATCCCCACCCCCTTCCCTATCTATCATACAGGACAATCCGGTACGTACATAATGCTAGTCTGCTTGTACTGGTTGTTGTTTCTGTTCGAATATGAGCGGAATGCCTTCGACATAGGCGTCGTCATCAAAGTCGACAGCCGTCACCGACTCGACTTGAACTCCCCACGAGAGAACGACAAAGTTGACTTGTGTCTGACAAAAAATGAGCGAATACGTTTGACTGCTTTTGTTGGTAGTTCCCCGCTGATTGACCTTTAATCCCTTGTGCGACGATCGAGGATCCTGTGCCAAAATTTCCACCAGAGTCGCTCGAGAAGCTTCTGCGTCACTATCATTTTGGGGTGTATACAAGGGAGCCATGCGGCCTTGTTGGAGTAATGTCTGCCACGCGGTTTCGGCTTGTGGTGTGAATTGTACGGTATGAATTTCGTCCTTTTGAGACACCCAGTCGGGAACTTGTAGTGCATTGTTACTACTGCTGTTGTGATTGTTGTCATGATGATGCCCCGGAATATCCCAGGGCACGACCGGTTTGATGTCATAGACGGGTGTTCCATGGACGAGATCGAGTGCGGAAATGTGGACTCGTTTGAGTTTCGTGTCGAGTCGTTCCATTTTGACGAGTGACAATCCGATGGGATTGGGGCGATGCGGAGACCGAGTGGCCAATTGTCCCACTTTGTGTGGAGCGCGGGGAGGTCTCACTTTGGCCTTTTTGGTGTTACTAGTAGTAGCGCTAGTAGTATTGGCGTGAAATCCAAAGAGGATCCACAAATGACTGTAGTCTTCCATTCCATCCAAGGCTTCCATTTGCAACGTACTGCCGTCGATTTGAATAAAGGCACGCGACGAGGGAACCAAGGAGCCTTGACGAGGTGTCCCCATGCGTTTCGTGTAGGGAGACACCACGGTGCCCACACACCGTAGTACCATGGGGTGGTTCACACTACTCTTAGTAGTACCACCATTAGTACTAGCAGTAGCACTGTCAGTCGTAGTGAGCTGCCATTCCAGAGCCTCTTTTTCCTTGGACAGAGTGCGCAACTTGACTTCGGCTCGAATTCGTCCGGTGCGTTCTTCGCGACGGCGATCTTCTGCCTGCTTGGAGATTCTGGCTACTTCGCTTTGGTGATACCAGTAGCCCAGGGCTCCTCCAAGGAACAGCACCACACCCAGGAGCGACTGGTTGTTGTTGTTGCCGTTGCTGCTGCTGCTGCTGCTGCTGCTGCTGCTGATCATCGTGTTTTTGTGGATTTTTTTTTCTTGGCTGAGAAGGATAAATAAATAAATAAATAAATGTATCTTTTTTAAAAACGCTAACCTTCGTGAAGCTCCCACTCCCGTCATTTTTTCTGAAACCAACGGTCCAAAGGCTCACTTATTGTGCAAAAGGCTCAACCTGCAACAAGCCTCTGGCTGAGTGTTCCAACAAATACAGCAAGTGCACCATGGGATCATCTACCAGGAGACGATTTCTACCATTCATCGTTCTCTTTAGCGGTCTTTCTCTGGCGTCTCTGGGCTCGAAATCATCATGGAAAGAATCCTATTTTGCGTATCCATACCGATCTCTCCGAACCGTCGTTGTCGAGGATGACTCTATCAGAGACATTGCCACCGACTGGAACCTTCGTCAAGCCTTTGCCAACTTGTCCTATACAAGTGCCCATCCGGAATCCTGTCAGCAACGGAAATTGGAGCGGTTTTGCCGCCGCGCAAGATGTCAACGTGCTACCGCCCGAGAAGCTTCTCCCCATGATGCACAACTGCCATTCAACGCGACAATAACCAAACAACACGACAATACTAATAACTGCAAGACCCTCTGGTTTGCCGGCATGAGCTTGGGCCCCAACAGTCAATGCACTTCAGAGGGGGGCGGGTATCAGAGAGAATACGCCATGGCATTGGCATCGGCGCGCCTTCATGCCGCCGATTCCTTGCAACCCGTCTTGATACTGACGACTCGTGGGACTACTACTACCAACAACCCTAATATATCCGCACTGGACTATCCCATTGCCAGGTGGGCACAATCCCAGGGTGCCATTGTGGTGACGGTCAACGAATTGTCCTTTCAATCGGTTGCCAATCAATTGGCCGGAGACCTTGTTGGTAAAGAACATACCATTGGACCCTATCTGCGCATGGATATTCCCCGTATTATTCGACAATACGATTTGTTCCGCCGTGCCAACAATATATGTCCACGGCACGTCCTGTACACCGATTCGGATGTGCTGTTTGTCAATCCCATTTCCGTCGAGGACATGCATGCCGTAAAACGGCTCGTCGCAAACGAGGCGCATGTCACGTACGGACTCGAATTTGGTATTCAGGGGGACGTTCCCATCAATACCGGTGTGTTTGTGGTGGATGTGCCACGGTGGGAACAGGAATGGAATAGTTTGTTGGCATTTGCTACTAGTAATGGACCCTTTGTCGCATTTGATCAAGGGTGGCTCAATGCCTACTACAAGAATCATCCAGAAAAGGTGGTCATGCTGCCGCGCCGTTGGAACTGGAAGACTTATTGGGACTTGGAAGAACAAGAAGAGTCCTCCTGGACGGATATCAAGATTGTCCATTTTCACGGCCCCAAACCGGGGTTGGGGCTATGGGACATGGCAACCTGTGCGTCTCCTACCAATTGGACCTTTCGAGAAGACTTTGTCAAAGCCTACATGCCTCATTTGCAGGCGGGTGTATGCTGTAATCAAGGCAAAGTGGCTCATTATGCACAGCAAATCTACAATCTGCTCGAACCTGTTACACGCGACGTGTGTTTGTCTGTGTGATTACATGAACGTATGGGCAACATAACATATTTAGTTATTTGGGCTCTTTCTACACTCTCCCAATGAAACTGAGAGTGATTATGCTTGTGGGAGACGCGGTATTGAGATTTGACGCAGAAACACTCTCCGAGTGATCGCCAGCTGGAATCAGAGGATCAGGGAGAATCAGGATCGAGTGGACTTCCCATTTGTGGCCTTGTCATCTTCGTCGGTGCAAACATCAACGAATTGCAGACGGGCCAGGAAGCTCCGACTCAGCCTACACTTCGACCATTCCAATGAATGAAGCAACTAAGTTGAGCTCAGTCCATCCTGTCGAGTTGGGAGATAAAGTAAACCCGCTGCTTACTCCTTTAGAAGGTACGGTAGTGCTTGTAGCAGGCATTCCCGGGATTTGATAATCAAAAACTCGAATGCCATGTCGACAGTGACTTCTCAAGCACTCGCATCGGCGTTGTTTTCGGCGTGGGAAAACAAATCACACGCCCACGTTCGAGAACGTGGAAACCGCCTGGTCGCTGGGAAAGATCGTGGTTGGGGGCGTGTGCTTCTAGCTAGCTAGTGTATTGAATCTGAGCGTCTGCTTGAAGGTACATGCAGAGCTGGTAGAAAAAGAAAATTGATTGCTTGTAGATATCTTTGTGAGACATGTCCGACTAGTAGGGCTCTCTTTTAAAAGTTGCACAACGGTACCATTTGTACCGCCTCGTCTTAAAACGGCACACATGCACAAGGAAGAAATTAAAAGAAAGAGCAAGAATAAGACACCCACCATCACTCGAGTTGCCGGTTGGACTGAGCAATAGACTCACTCCACGAGGTTTGATCTCTTTCAAAATAGATGTTTCAACCATGTTCTGTGGTGGTTGGTGCGGTATTCTTGGCTGTTTAGCAAGTTCATAGTACATCGCAGGCGGCCCGGATACCAGCACTACAAGGCCAGCTGACTGCAACAGAAGCCAAATGAAGGTTAGTTAGTGACTACCACATTCTGTACATGCAGAATGCTCCACGGGAACTGTCGGCCCATCCTTTTCCGGCGTCAGTCCAACACTACTATTTCCGTTCAGCTCATCCGATGTTCTGAATTTTCTGCAGTCACCTTGGACCGGTACCGGTACCGGTTCAGTACGAGGCGCCGTTGATGAGGGTCATTTGTCATTATTTGTGTCACCGCAACAGCAGCGATCAAAAACCTCACTGACGTACAACTGTACGTCGAATGCTGGAAGCAGTTCTGATTGATAAAGTAGGTAGGTGCGGTAAAATAAGTCACTATTATTTTCAATTTTTAACCCTTTAGTTACCGAGACTCCCTTTTTAAGGCTGTCCGTTGGATTCGATTCGACTTAGGAGTCAGATCCATCCGTTTTTGAGAAAGATTTCTCACATCTTTCGCGGCAATCTCATTTTTTGGTCATCGAAGGCATCTCTGCCAGTTTGCTTACTCAGCCTCAAAAAAAAAGAAAAATGTTCCGCAAGACCATGGCCCTCGTCTTGGCCCTCTTCGTGAGTGGCTGTGTTGCCGATCAGGAGATGCCTCCACCACCTGACGGTGGCATGGGCCCTGGCGATGGCATGGGCGGCATGGGCCCTGGCGATGGCATGGGGATGGGCCCTCCTGGCGATGGCATGGGCATGATGGGAAAACCCGCCACAGTTGTTGACATTGCTCTTGGAAGTCCCGAGCACAAGACTCTGGTTGAACTTCTGACAACTGCCGGTTTGGTGGATACGCTTGCCGATGAATTCGCTAATTACACTGTTTTCGCCCCCACTGATGACGCCTTTGCGGCGTTGGGAAATGGAACGCTTGACAAGTATCTTGAACCCCAGTGGGCTGGTCATTTGATTGACATCTTGCTCTACCACGTCACCTGGGGGGAATACAAAGCTGAAGACTTGTCCCAAGATCTTGAGCTCTGGATGCTCAATGGGGAGTCAGCAAACATCACCAGCGTATCTCCTGTGTACACCATCAACAATGCCACTATCGGACCAGCCGATTTGGAGGCTGAAAATGGCGTTGTACACGTTATTGACAGTGTTCTTTTGCCTTGGTCTGTCTATACCGACATTGTTACTGCCGCCGTCACGCTGCCTGAGCTTTTCAGTACCCTTGTCGGCCTTGTGGTTGCTGCCAACCTCACTGAGACCCTTTCGGGCCCTGGACCGTGAGTATGATGCTCGTTGCATGGAGGCCTGCACCTGCCGAGATGCTGATATTCAGATAACTTTTGGCTCACTTGTTTTGCTGTCCATTTGCCATCTCTACTTCCAATTCACAAACGAAGCTATACTCTATTCGCGCCAACAAACGATGCATTTGATGCGATTGACAATGAGACTGCTTCGTTCCTGCTCAGCCCCGATGGCTTCGAGTCTTTGCAGGACATTCTCCTCTACCATGTGGCTCCAGGAATCATTCTTTCTGATGATGTCATGGATGGAGCGGAAATTTGGATGGCCAATGGCGACCCAGCGATTCTTTCGGTCACCAAGACAGCTGGTAACAGCACTGCTTCAACTGACAATGTCACTACTGCAGTGAGTGCCTCCGAGGGAGAGGAAGCCTACCTCATCAATGATGCCACTATTACCGAAGGCGACTACCTCGTCAATAATGGGGTTATCCACATTATTGACACGGTGCTTCTCCCCCTAGTGGCATCTCGTCGCTAGACCTTTCGGATATTGAATGTTACAAAGAACAAAAGCTATGCCGTTGGCAAAAGACTTGTGCTGTACCTATATGTATCGAACAGAAACCCTGATCATCAAAAACGATGATTAGGAAGAACAAAAACAAAGACGATGTGACAAGACTTGTGTACCTATTTGTATCCAGAAGAAAGCCTGATTGTGGAGATGCGATCCTCAAAAGGCTAAGGTTTGAGAACGAGACCTTTTGTTGGGTGTTCCAATAAGACTATGGTTGTGTTTGAGTAGCAAAATAAGGTGTTTCTTATAGCGAGCTCATTTGTAAGTAACCAGAGCCTGTGGTAGACGCCTCAATCCAGGTGGATGATGGATGATTTGACGCATGTGTAGATAGGTACCTGGTACCGGCAGGTAATCCATCCAGCGTTGTTTTGATCCAAGGTATCAGGTATAACTTGCCCGTCGAAGCCTAGGGTTCACCAGTTTACTCTGGCGCTGCATAGTTGAATTCAGGGTGAACCTTCAGCGTCTTGTGGACGAACTAGAGACCATTAGTCAAAGAACCCACGAACTAGCAACTAGAAGGGTGGATTATGCATTTGTGAAACTCTACTGTATTTTGGTGCTGAATGAAAGCGTCATTAGAGAAAGTGAGCTTGGTGGGACGAACTCGTCCCACCTTTCCTGCCTGTATCTATGATTCTGCTTTGGCTCCTTAGGCTTGGGTCTGTTTCATGTTGCCGCCCAACAATTGAAGCGCGGCGGAAACAGCTGTCACATCCAAAACGGCAAATTCAACATCGTACTGCTTGACTGCTTTCGCAATGGCTAGAAGTACATTCTGACGAGTCTCAAAGAACTCATTGCTGCATTTGGATGGCAAGCAAGGTGTCAAAGAGATAGATATCTGTCAAGTCCGAGAGAAAGGACCAAACAACTCACCTCAGTGGCTTTAGTGTGAATCTACAATCGATGTTGGCAGCAATGTGGTCCGCATTATAAGTCGTGAGATGTGCTCGGAACGGACGACTGCCGTCTAAAACGACTGCGGGGCAAGCTTTCTTGATTTCTTCCTTGATGGTTTCCAGGACTGCGGGTAGCTTCTCGATATCAGAGTACTTGAACCTCAAGGTTTGTTTTACAGCTGACATCGGAACGCGACTCATGTTGGAAACCCGTTGATCAGCTAAAGAGTATCAAAGGAGAGACATGTCAGCGTTGTACCGATGCTTTGTGGCCAGCAGAAAGTGCTATTCGGCTGGTCCTGTACTTACCAAGATCTTTGTTGGGGACAGTTATCATGATCTACGAAGAAATTCACATATGCGCATCAAAACACTTTCAAAGTTCATTGACACTATCCAAAGATCAAGCAATACACCGTACTCCACCGCACTCCACGTACCTCATCACCTCCACGAATGACAGTTTCCATCCAACCGAGCTTGATCACTTTGCCACAGACACCATTCGAGAACTTGACGAAGTCTCCAACCGCAATACGATTCGAAGAAGCCAAAAAGAGACCGTTGAAGAGCTGTGCCGCCAAGCCTTGGGACGCCAATCCAATCACCATGGTACCAACGCTGCCCAGTGCCACGAATCCTTTGGCAGCAGCTCCCATGTCGTCTTGGACCGTGTCGACAACGACGTACAAGCCAATGCAGTACAAGAATGCGTCCACCAGACGATCTACAAGCTGGACTTGGCCCTTGAGGTCGTCGGGGTCGGATTTGGTCTGTTTGGCCAGCACGTATCGTTTCAAGGCTGAGATCCGGTTCAAGATCCATGCCATATACTTTTGGTACAGAAATCGAGTTTAGACGGCGAAAGAAAAAAGAACAATCAGTCATACTGGAAACACAGGAAGACCTTCATACAGGTTAGAAGTGTAGCCACACGTACCGCAATGTTGGCAAAAGCATGCGGTAGCTCGCTTTGGGATGCAAAATCAACTCCAATTCCTTGCAGGACGACCTTGAGGATATCCACCAAGTACACTACGAAGGCCAGCTGTGCCATTTGTGCTACATTGTTAGCAATTGTGTATTTCAGGCTGTTGTCTGTACCACCGCCACCGGCTTCAACGAGTGCCTCTTTGGGTTGCTCCTCAGACTCTTTGCAGCCGCTTTTGCTTCTTAGACGAAGAGCCAAAGGCAGGAGAAAACCAAGCGCAAAGAAGAACAGGAGTTCTTCCCACTCAACGACAACCGCAATGGCAACCCAAATCTTGGCCATGCGCTCTTGCGCCAGGAAGAGGTGGCTCACACCTTGCTTGATACTCCCTGCGAGAGTTGTGTGTTCGCGAAACTCTCGAATGTCAGCTTTGGACAAGCATTGTCCGATTGTAGAATTGGCAGCCGAGCAGGAGCCATTGAGACCGAAACCTTCTAGCATTTTCATGGTTCCAATACGCTGTTCCAATTTTAAGACGAGTGGTTATTACTATGGCTGAGAGGGAACTATGGTGAGGGGGGGGGGGCGATTGAGTCTTCCGTTTGCGCTGGGATAGTGCTTGTGGTCGTTCCACTGTTGTTGAAGAGGCTGGTGGCAACTGGAGATTTCCCGGAAGCTTTTGGTTTGAGCTCGGGAAACGAATGAATCGAATCGAATGATGAATCGAAATCATCAATCATTCGATTCAATCGAATCTTCCCTCTGCCGTGAGTCCCGTAAGAATGATTCCCAAAACTGAAAACAACGAAACGATGAATCGCTGGCAATGACGCAAGACGAACGGCGGTCCACAATCCGCAACTGCACAACAGCGCAACAACAGCAACCGGCGAAACACAAGTGGATCGCCAGAGGATTGCCTGAATGAGACAAGCAGCGCATTAGCTAGTAGTGATGAATCAAAAACTATCAATTTTATTCCTGTTTTGTTGGACGGCTTGCACAAATGCATTTGTGGTTGCGCCTTCGAAATCTACCTGTCATCCAAGAGACGCAACCTTGGCACACCCGAGTCCTTCCACAACAGAAAACGCAATATCATCAACCCAACTGAATCTCTCTCCTCAAGATGTAATCGAGGCTGGTGTTTCCTTCGACACTTTTGCGCCCCAGTTTCTCTGGTTACCCATGATTGCAGCCCCCAACTCTGCCATTACCAAAAAGATCATGATGGGAACCAACGGCGTTGCTGCCATTGTGGCTCTGGCGCTGGTTCACTTGACGATCGTCATTGCTGCTGCTACACAAGAGGGAGCCTTGAGTCAAATCTTTATCTTTGGTGAAGTCTTTGATCCCTCCTTGTCGCAGCTCGGAGGGATGCAAAAGTTGTTCCAGTACCCCAATTTTATCGCTGAGGAATGGCCACATGTTCTGATCTGGGACCTGTTTGTAGGAAGGGCCATTTGGATGGATGGTCTCAAGCGAGGTGTGGACACTCGCTTATCATTAGTGTTTTGCAACTTTATTGGACCACCTGGGCTGTTGATCTATGTAGCGACCTGTTTGCTATCGGATGACAAGGGGCTCCCAAGTTTGGGAGACGAGGGAGACGTCACTGAGGACTATCAATAAGATAGATGTAGCTTCATTAATTAGATGCATCCATAAATGAATCTACTGCCTGCCCCAGTACTAGTAACTGCCAGTTCGAGCAACAACAGCCTGAGATTGCATGACAATATTGCTGCCATGGCGCAGCCACACATCTCACCTTTGTCGTGGACATCAATTTAGCCTTCCGTAACACCATAGCGCTGCCTACGGCGGGGCTAGCTAGGATGAAACCGAATTGAGTACTGTGGCAACAACGTACTTGAAGCGACGATTTGATTCACAGATAATTTCCCTGCCCTGGCTTGCTACATGTAGCCCCCTCGACTCTTCTTTGCTTGAGCCTGGCCCTCGCTGGCATTAGTAGATAACCCACCTACTCTAACCCAGGAATTGAATCATCATCAAATCCTTGGAAGATTTGGCACCAGTGAGGTGATTGGTTGTCTCCGTTTCAAATAAGTTTCGAGCAAATTTTGTCTTGTGACGTCAGTCTGCGGTCGCTCGGAAATGCAGTTCATTCTGACCCTCATTTATGTTTGCACTTGACCATGCCACCACCCTTGAGTGACAGTCCATTCCTCCACATGTGCATAGTCACCTCTAAACCGCACAGTAATCTCCCGTTCAAACCACATAATCACACCGAGGAGGACTGACAGTCAAGTGCTGCTATTTTCAGCAGGCAAAGTAGAAAGATGAGCGGCTCCAATAATAATGATGGTTATCATGGCATGATATCCAATACGCTTGGTTCGGCGGTCGCTGGAATTGTCAGCCGCACATTCACTCATCCCATTGATACAGCCAAATCACGGCTGCAGGCTCAATACAGTGTTACTAGTGCTAGTTCTTCATCAGTCACCCCCCAATATCGAGGAACAGTGGATGTCCTGCAAAAGACCTTTCGGACCGAAGGAATCCGAGGGCTCTACCGTGGATTTGGTGCCATTTTGGTGGGTGGAACTCCAGGGACGGTAACCTATCTGTGTACATACGAATTTGCCAAGGATAGTCTGTCGTCTGCTATGAAAGGTCAGGATGATTCCTCCTACAATAATAATGATCAAGGAGGAGACTTTTTGATTCATTTTTCGGCTGGAATGATTGCCGAAACAATCGCCTGCATCATTTATGTCCCTGTGGATGTCATTAAGGAACGTCTTCAGGTACAGCATGCAGCATCCAGCAGCAATAACTCGGCTTCGTCCAACTACCAAGGGAGCTACGATGCCTTGAAGAAAATTGCCAAAACAGAAGGTTTATCTGGAATTTACAAGGGCTATGCTGCCACCTTGGCATCCTTTGGACCCTTCTCGGCACTCTACTTTATGTTTTACGAACGCTTCAAATCGGAAACACGATTCTACCTATTTGATCCACAGCGGATCCAACCTAAAACGACAATTGACAAGAAGGAAATCCCCTTTCCATGGCTCGTCTTGTGCAGTTCATCGGCCGGGGGACTAGCTTCCTGGTTGACATCGCCTCTGGACATGGCCAAACTGAGGCTCCAGGTCCAACGAGGAGAAAATGCAGTTGCATCATCATCTTCTTCTTCATTGGTATCGTACAGGGGTGTGGTGGATTGTCTACAAACCGTGTATCGACAAGGGGGTATGCGTGGTTTATTCCGAGGAGCAGGAGCTCGTGTTTGCTTTTATGCTCCAGCCACCACAATCACCATGAGTTGTTATGAGACGTGTCGGTCCTTTGTGGCCAAGTTATTGGTGGCAGAAGACCGATGATGATTGATACCACATGCATGTACTATGTATGTATGTATGCATGCATCACTGTACTAGCTACTAGCGCAGACATGGGATTAAAGGCGTGGTGCAGCGTTGGGACTTGCTTGGGTTAGACCCTTGGCAAAGTTTTATCACTGACTTTGTCTCTCGGTCGCTTGGTTTCTGCTGGGTGGGCCCGCTTTTCGATCTGCGTGTTGTTTCATCAACTTTTGCAGCTGCTCCTGTTGTGCATCCGACAACGGACCTTCCAAGGCTTTTTGCTGCAGTGTTTCTAGCTCGTGCGCCTCAATATTTGAATAGCAGCCCGTACAGGCAAACATGCCACAGAATGTGTGATCGGGAGTCCTGGCACCTACCATGCAGATGTAGTAGTGTGGTCTACCATCTTCGCTGCCGTCGTCATCGTCGTCATTGGCATCCTCCACATCCTCGCCCTGCAAATTCGCGGTGGAACAAGGCTTGCTAGGAGTTTCGGGGCACTTGAACGATGGCTCCAAAGGAGACATTTGTTGCTCTCCGTCAAGTAGAAGACCATGTGCAATGAGCAGCTTGTTTGTCAACGTCATGCCCAACTTGTCACGAATGAACAGCATCTCGCCATATCCGATACCCAACGGCATCGACACAACTTCAATGCGTTCCTTGGGCCTCCGGAAGAATCCATCGGCAAATGCCATTTTTCGAGCTGCACGAACAGAGCGGGAACAATCACTGTTAGCGCCCTTACTGCTCAGTGGCTCCAAGCCCATCACAAATGCAAGGAGGACGCGTCGTTCTTCCTGGACTTTTTCCAAAGATATGCTCCCACTGGCCAGTTGCACGTCCTGACAGCGGCAAAATGCGTTCAAATTGGTGTAGCGGTGGGGGATCTTGCTCTCTTCCGTAAAAGTGACAAAGAATGAGGCAATGACGTAGATGAGACCCCCACATTTTGAATAGACGAGGGAGTTGCAGCTATCATGGCCATCTTTCTCTGCTGTCGAAACGTCAATAGTCTCGTTGAACCACGAGGTGTGACGCTTCTTGAGGGCGTCCATTGTGCATCGTTCAATGTAGATAATCTTGCCGCGGTGATCTGGAAGCTGAACCAACTTTAGATGCTCGGACAGTTGCATCTTGGCACCGTCCGCAGTTTCTTCCTCAGTAGATGCAACGTAGCTACTTTAGTTGGAGCCCTGGATGGGAGCAAAACACGCTTGAATGGCTTCAAAATCCTGCTGTACGTCGTCTTCCAAAAGCGGACGGAGGGTGTTTACCACTGCCTGTACTTGACAAACTCTCGGAGAAACTGACACACAATCTTTGTAGCCGCTGTACTTTGCAGGTGCGAGCCGGCTCAATCTGTTCTCCTTCACAAATGCTCCTTCCTTTGGGTCCGGTAGAGGACGAAGCTTTGACTGCAAAAAGGAAGAGTCCGGCGCTGCTGCATACAAATGCGATCGTAGTGTTTCCCAAGTTGTAATGTACAAGTTTCCGCCATCGGGCACGTTGCAGAGAGCTTCCTGTTTGTGGTTCGATAGGCGAGAAAAAGGAGCGGTGTCAATCGTGACAATCTTTTGGGCTTCTTTGGAAGGCACCTGGAGGAAGCGCTCGCACACAGTGCCCGTCACGCATTCGAACGAGCAGGCAAGAAGACACTCATAGATCTGCAGCCGAATGAGATCCTCCGTCTTCACCTGTTTGTCCTTGTGGCATGCAAGGCCTGGTAAATCGAGCTGTGCAATTGCGTCGACATCTTTGTCCGATACAATTTCTTTGATCTCCTCGAGATCCATGGCCAAGAAAGCAAAGACAACAACACCTTGGTCCTTGACTCGGGTGATGCACTGAAATGACATACCGATCTTGATCTTGCCATGCTTGTAGACAACGACGTATACACCAGGACGATTGCGAGTGAGGTTCTTTGGCAACCAGCAAGGCTCATACTCCTCTAGATGCTTGCGCAGCAGTCGACCCGCCTTCTCGTACTTCTCCTTCAACTCTGGTGGGGCATTGGCGTTGCTGACAGCTTCTTGAAGGTGGAACTTCTTGTCGAAAGCCTCCATTCGTTCCTCCATTGACAAGACACGAGGACGTTTCGAAGCAAAACTGGTGCCCATCCACTTGAGCGCCGAGCATGAGAAATCACCTCGACTGCCATCATCGCTCTCAATCTCTACATCTATATCAGAACTAGTCGTATCGTCCTCCACCAATGCTGCTGGATGACGCTTTTTCTTTGCTCGCTGCTTTTCGACAGGGCTTTCCTCGTACTCGATCACGTCATCATCACTCGAGCCTTCTCCATCATCACTCGAGCCTTCTTCGACAGGGCTCGCTTCGCACTGGCTCATGTCATCATCACTCGAGACTTCTTCTGTGTAGCACAGAGCTGTTCGGTTGCGGCGACTTCTACGAGTAGACGCCATGGTGGCGGAGAGATCTTTGAGAGTCGTCTTTTTGGTGAAAAGCTTTACGAGTTGTGCTTTTGGTACTGTACGATTTTGGTTCTTCGTCGTAGATTTTTTCATCCATGGATGCCTCTTTATTAAGATATTATTTAATTTGTTCTTATTGAAGAAGCTGGATTGGGATCCAAAGAACTTTGCCATGCCACAACGAATGAGAGACATGCTTGCAAGATTTAAGGATACTATTGGGCTTTCTGTCCTAGGAGAAGATCAATACGATGAAATGTTCCAGCGAGAAGACGGGTTCTTGTTATAGATATAGGGTAAATTAATCTGTATATAAAAACTTTTATTACTACAACTACCTTTCTAAGATTCGCATTGCACTTCGTATTTATTCAATGTCAGTCATTGAAAAAAGATCAAGCGTCCAATCAAATCACAGGCGACCCCGAAAAATTGGGAGCCAACTTTTAAAATGTGAAGAACGCAAGGCGACTTTCATGTGCATGTACATGCGTTGACTGTATCCCGTCAATACGATACTAGTCGAATACGTAGACTTCTACAGGGCCTTCTAAGTAATGCGCGCGGGGTATAATTCAAACCTCTGCCCCCATCCGTACCATTACCCCTAAAAGCAAGTCGTCTCCAGGAGACGAAATTGGTGGGCGGAATTTTTCCTGCAAAAGTGGCCTCCCCAAATAGTTGTTGAACTAAATGATGCGTATATAATACCAAAGTAACGCATGAAAACAACGGACCAATTAGCTCAGTTGGCAGAGCATCGGATTCCAGACCCGAAGGTCGTCGGTTCAAGTCCGGCATTGGTCATTTTGATGAATCTGGAGACGAGGGTGCGTTTCTATGTATTGCAACTCTATCTCTAAGTATTTTGCTACTTGCATGCATGCATGCTTTGTGGGTGTTCTCTTGCTTCCTGTCTTATCTTTCCCAGCTTGTAGCATCAACTGAACCTACCTGGTACTGTAACTGTTTCTGATGGATTCTCCTACTGTGGTGACAATCACTATGCGTTCGCCTTGTTACAAAAAGATGCTGGTTTCCTGAGTTAGCTAGATTTATTGCTTGTACACAGCAACATACCACTTCCAAATACTACTACTAGTGGTAGGATTGTTTCACTGGCACCTTGTAGAATTGGGAGAAGCGGTCTCAGAGTGCGCTATGATACCCCGTGTTCCGCTAAGTTCTGGCTGGGTCTGTACCACCAGCAGGATTGCTTGCTTGAATTTTGCTTGAACTCATCAGCTACGGTAATACGGTAAACAAAAATTTAAACCAATGGGGATGACAATAGCATTGTCGACTATCCATAGATTGGTTGGACCCTTTCGGCGTTCGTTTGTCCAAGACGGTGCACCCATCGCGCACCCAACAAAACGAACTCGGTCTGAAGTGCCCAATCGCCCCTTCTTCAAGTCACCCCCAGCCAGCTAGCTAGCCTGTCAACGTTGCTTTTACTAATTCACTGGGAATGAAGTTGCACTTCACGTTAACACGTTGAACAGTGGAGGCAAGGCTCTGAGGCCTGATGTGGCATAATATTATGTGCAATATGGCAGGACTTGACCCAACCACGGCTACCTTCGCGTTACTGGTCCTGCCAGCTATCTTGTAGCACACTACACAACAGTTACTACTAGCTAGCTAGCTATCGAGTTGATCTATGTGCACCTTATCTCCTTGTTCCCAAGCTATCTTCGGGCCAGGTTCGCAATTCTTTGATCATAGCAAGCAACCGAGCACTACCGCATACTCAGTATGGCCCAGTTCATCCAAGAAATGAAACATTGGGTCTCTTTCTACCAGTAAGGCATCAATTAATTGCTTCCAGGTGCGCATCGGAAACCACTGAGTATGGTGTCAACCACCTTGCTTGAGGTGCGAGATCGCTCGCTTAGAAGGGGTGCGTACTAGCAATAACGAGTAGCCTTCTACCGGAGCTTCTTGACGTCAAACGAAGGGCAGCGAAAAAGAAGGGAGCGTTTTGGTCCGAGAATTGGAGTCAACGACGGGTTAGCTCCTCACCGTCACCAGCCAAGCAAACTGAAGCACGAAGCAACGAACCCAAGCCGAAGCACCGTGTAGTGAGCTAGCTGAAGCAGATGAAAGTAGAGTATGCAATGTAATATGTAGCTTCTAGTAGTTCCTGTTATATTGTACAGCTGTAGCGGTTCTTTTGGCAGATATCTTCACTGCTGTCACGTCGTCAGCCAGCTCAAGGGGCGGTCAACGAGGAGCATGGATGTCAATTGATAGTCAATAGTAATATATAAATTCACATAAGAGATGCGCGTCGTTGGCGTTGGCTCTTTTGTCGTTGCGGAATTCTGGGCGGCAGACTGCGGCGCAGCTGATCTTGAAGGGCCTCAGCACTTCCTGGCTTGCTTTCAACCATGTGCACAAAAGCTGACATTGCCTGCAGTGATTGCCCGACGCATGACAACTCTCTGTGCAGGTCCATGTGGCGCTTCACCGACTGGCTGGGTGATCTCAGAGGCATTTCACGTTGCAAATTTGCTGTATTCTTCTGCATGCATTGTATTGGTATTCGCAACGTTGATCCATTGCGCGTTCTGCGACAACGCCTCGATTCATCAGCAGTCTTGGGTGAGAGAGGTCTGCATTGGCTCTCGGGGGATGGCGCGTTGGAGCACCAGCGATTGGGTGGTGAGCACATGCTATAGATGCTGTCTTTGGTGGTCCTCATTGTGCTTGACTTGATTTTTACTTGAACTGGCTGAGATTCACTTACTTGATACCTTTGCTGGAGGTCAAGGACGAAGAAATTAATGAGGACAACTTGGAGCATCCAAAATTTTTCGGCGTTCAAAGTTTGGAAAACGACGGAACGACGTGGCCACAAAAGGCCAAAGAACCCCAAACAAGAAAAGCACTGCTTGCTAAAACAGTTTGGCAATGACCGTTGAAGTCTAGTGAAGCTTGCTTCAACTACCATAAATATCGCTTGCAGTTCAGGATTCTTTGAAAGTGTCAATCTTCTTGTCCAGACTTCCTAGTGGTACAGCTGGTGATACGTACGCAGCTGCAGCTTGTACTCGGCGAGCTACTCGGCGGTACCGTCACGGGTCATGGTGTCATGGGTTTTGTTTTCTGGATAAGCAGCACTGCAATAGCTCAGAACTCACCCTAACTGGACTGGTAAGACTCGTTGGAGGGCTCTTGTGCCAAGTCTTGCAGTTGTCTGCAATTCATCGATCTTCCTTTCTATTGACATCGTCGATACTAGGTGCACTGTTTATGTGTCTGGGCGCTGCCTTGCAGCATCCCTTCTGGCATACTGTCATTTGCACCTTAGTTCGCTAGCTGTTCGATAGTACTGGCTACATGTAACTGGGCTAGCTGGGGCTAGCTCTGGGGCTTCACCCGAGCAATTGGTTGGGATGTCGCCTTTTCAAGGCAATTGCAGCTTCGTTCTCTTCAACCGTCGAGCTACCGTTGTTGTTTCTGACGGCAATACCCCTTTTTGACACCAACAGCTGCCACCAGGAAACTTTCCGAACCAAAACCACCAACAGGATCAACCTCATCTCCAAACTGCCTTCATGCTTCAATCTTGTAAAACTTTTATCGCGGCCACTGCCAGCACGCTAACTTGTCAAGCTCCTGTCAGCATCCATGATGAAGAAGTAGAAGGCAGGGAGAGATTTGATTGGGCCTTTGAAGATTGCCATCAGGGAAGTCGCAGTTTCTCCTTGGATCGAGCTCGGATGGTGCTTGGGAGTAGAAGGAGTTCACTGGTCGCTGTGGGGCGCCCACAGCCGCCGACTGAGAGTGCTAGTAGATAGCGTAGCTGATAGCTCCTGCAGTTTACTATCTAGGTAGTGCCTGTGGGGGCGCGAAGACGACTACCGTTTCATGTACAAATTTTCGAAGAGCTCGTGCAACTGTTCCATGCGAGAAAAAGAAGTCAGCCCAAGCTCTTGGTTGACAAGTGTGTTCAACATTACGATTTCATCCGGGCAGCCAGAGCTGGGGCAACCGCCCAAGGAATGCATGCAATGATGCCCTGGCTGTCGAGGCGTTCAGCCTGGCCTAATCGAGCACTTTACAGGCTGGTGTCAAATGAAGGGGAACTGTACAGGATGATAAGGAGAGGAGCGTGACTTGCTTCAGAACTGCATGTGGGAGGGATAGAGCTGGTATAGCCAGGCCCAAGCAATGGTTTGGTTGCTGTAGCTATTGAACTGTATAACCTAGTCTATTATCATTACTTGTAGCTATCTACCTACCTATCTGTTTAGTCTATTTCGTCTTAGTTTGAAAGGCCTGGAAGAATTCTTCATCTAGCAAGTGGACCAACTCCACTCGGTTTTTCTTGACGGCTCGATTGATGGCAATGAGCATGTTTTGACGATTCTCCCAGAATGGATCACCCAGTAGTTTGACTCTGAAATGAGCTTCCACGGTGGCTTCCAGTCCAGTTGTTCCATATGAAGTCCAGAATGCACGAAACGGCCTGGAGCCGTCCTCAATCAACTGAGGGCAGGCTTTGCGTATCTCGTCTTTGATATCGTCCATTACTTTGGGTATTTTGTCGCCATCACCGTATTTGAACCGTAGTTCTTGCTTCACACATGAGATTTGTATCCGGGAGAGGTTGCTGATGGATTGATCGGCTGTTTGAACGGTACAAGTCTGAGTTGAGCAGAAAGTCACAGCACTATGAATCTCCAAATCCAGCTGCACGTTGGTTGTCAGCCTGCAAACGCACCTAGCACCTTGTTGGGCACCGAAACCATAACACCGTCACTGCTTCTGACCAGCGTGTCGGTCCATCCCATGTGAGCAATCAAGCCCGCAATCTTTCCATCTCCAAACCTGATGACATCTCCCTTACGAATCTTGTTGGAACTGGCCAAGAAGAGGCCATAAAAGACTTGGCTGACAAGACCTTGAGACGCCAAACTCAAGACAATGGTACCAACTCCGCCCAGTGCTGCAAAGCCTTTGGCAGCCGCACCAAAATCAGCCTGTAGATTGTCAATTAGCACAAAGGAGCATATTCCATAGACAATGGCATCGATAAGTCGATCGACGAGCTCTGCAGATCCCATCAAGTCACCTGGGTCATTGCGTGTCTGCATCGCCAGGATGTATCGTTTCAATGCGGAGATGCGGTTGGCAACCCACAACGTAATCTTTCATTTAATTGGCAGCATAATAGAAACAACCAAGAAGTTTAGTAGGCAGCCATGCTCGTGAATGCGGCCGTGACGTTGCTGAGTATTGGAGGATATGGATACATCTCCATCCATCCAAACTTACTTACCAATGATCTGGCTACAATGTGTGGCGACTTTTGCAATTGTGCAAATTTAAAGCCCAATGCTTGCAGCACAATTTTCAAAATGTCCACAATATATACTACAAATCCAATCCGGGATGCCTGCGCCAAAAAATCTCCAAACAATCGAGTGTAGGATCGTTTAAAGGGTCGAGCATTTGGAAAGTACCTGGATCGAATGAAATTGTTGGGAACCTCCAGCACCAGTGGGACAAAAAGCCACCCCATAAAGTAGAAAAAGAAGAGTTCTTCCCAATGAATGGCAGTACCCATGGCAGACAAAATGAGCTTGGCCCGTTCCGGAGATATTCGAAACTTGGCAATAATGTTTCGGACGTGACCTGCAATGGTGGAGTGTTTGGCCAACTCTTTCATTTGGGCGTTGATGGCACTGGCAGCTGAGGGTGGAGGAGGCGGTGGCAATGACGGAGGTTTCGAAAAGAAGGACAAGAGACCCGCTTGTAGTTGTCCGTTGGTATTGGTAGAGCATCGTTTTGGACGACTCGATGCCATGTTGCCGTAGAGGAACCTATCGGTATGAAATCTTCGTCGGTGACTTCTCGGTCGATATGAGCGTTGCGGCTGCCCCGTCGTTGGAAAGGCAGCAACCTCCAGAAGGACTGGATCAATCCACCATAGCTGACAGGATATTGTCACAAAGCAGGCTAGATAGCGGCGAAAGGGATTGTTTCTGAACATCATTTTCATCGGCTTCTGCTGGAGATGTCTTCCGCCCCTTTCTTCATCGGCCAACCTTTGGATCTCATCTTGGGAAATCGGATCTTTGGAGAGAGACAATGAGAGGACTTTGACGGAACACTCAAAAAATGAAGGAGTTAAGGCCCATTTGCTAAAGACTAAAGAGGGATTTACCTCAACTTTTCCGAGGGATTTGGGGGTTCGACCGGGGGGTAAATATATATAAAAAAGGGAAACCAAGTTGGACTGGGGGCAAATACTTGCTCCTTTTTTTCATTCATTTGATGGATATTGTTGGTTCATACCTACCTGTCCAAGATGGGTGGATGCTGTGACAGAGTGTGATTGTTTTTGCAATGGATTTGGATACTTTGTGAGTGGAAAGTACTATGAAGTTCCAGACCCTCGCAAACTGGGCGATTTTTCTGTTCCGTACCTTGAAAACCTCCAGCTCTCTGCTCAGATACTACCGGTAGTGATTCGCTCCACCTGGGATGCGCTCTTGCTATACTTCCTTGACAAGTAAGTTTGTACTACCTACAATATTTCTTTGAGCATCCAGATGAGTCTTTCAGGCAGACATTTTGACAACTCAGTTCTTCTACAAGATGCATGAGAAGTACCGTATGGAGGCAGCCAAGAACCCAGTTGAGTAATATCCCAACAGGAAGAGCTAGCTAGCGGGTTTGCTGATAAAAGATTTGGAGCTCCTCGCTCGAATCTTCGAACTACCGCACCGTGTATAGTGAAAGGCAGCCGTGAAGGCCGCACCGGACTTTATCTTCGCTTCTTGCCAAGCCACACGGAGAGATCGAATTTTGTTGGATAAAGTCCTACTCCATCACCTGCTCGGACTACCACCCCTACAGTTGTGTGCGGGGCCGACCTTCTCTAGCTAGCTAGCACTGGCTCGGACGCAAAATGCTTGATTTGATTTGGTTTAGAAGGTTTAACCATTTTATAGCTACAGTACAACAATTACTAGTACTGTATAGTACCAGTACTACCAACGTCTCTATTATTTGTCACTCCCACCCACGGCTTGATAGTACTGACGTTGGTGGTTGCTGCTGTGGTTGTTGCCCTCAGGAATAGAATCATTGCTCCGCAGCACATACTGCCGCAAATCGTCCTGTGAAAACGGTCGTGGATCTTTATAAGCATCGGCAAAGACGGATCGGACGCACTTGCGTCCCCATGTTGGAAAGACATTATTGGTGGCGGCAATGGCCCGTTGTTTGACACAAAATTCCTGCAACAGCGTCGGTGCCCACTTGCTACCGGTGTAACATTCGGCTTCCCGGGCGGCACGGACTTCGCTGTAGGCGGTGCTTTCGCAATCACTAAAATCCAAGCGCAGCCGTCGCACGTCGTATGCATGGACCAGTTCGTGGACCAATACTTCGGACATTTCGGCGCGATCGTGTACGGCCAATCGATTGGTACAGGCAATAATGGACAGTGGATTGGGACCCATTATCAACGCGCGAGCTCCCTGTTCGGGACCCGTCTCTTCGCACGGACGACATTCGATTCGAATCGTTTCGGTAGTGTACCGGATGGGTGTCGTAGTGTTGGATAAGGACGACGATGTGGCCAATACGGGCGCAGGAAACGTCAAGCCACCACTCCGTGAGGTCTCTTCTTGAGGAGGAGGTGCTATTCTGTTCCATCGTTTTAACAGGGACCAGGGTTCGTCAGGGACTCGCAAGTCCACTTGGACTCCCTCATCGATGGGTTTCAAGGAAAACGATGGATGTTGTTCTTCCTGCTTGTGCTGTTGTTGCTGCATTCCACCCGCAAACGCCTCCAAAACTTGGCGAGGCCGGGACGTGGGATTCTGTAAGATTTCTCGGACCAGTCGAACACAGGAACGACACGAGGCATCCATCACCGGTTTGTTGTTGCCGTTGTTGGACGCTACGGACGTTGCCTTGGCGGTTGCTTGACCGTCTGTCATGTTGATTGTTGCGAATTGAGACTGGATGAATCTGTCTGGATAAATAAATGAAGGTATCTACCCTTTTCTCGCTTTTGTAATGTCAAATCCAAACAACAATAGAAGATGACCAGAAGGAGCAATCAACCCCAAGGCCTATTGTGCCAATCAGTCAATCAATCAATCAGAACTCCAATACCAAAGAGCTACCTTCTCATTGAAGGAGCCAAAGGCACTTTGGTTGCCACCACGTTCTTCCTTCAATTGCTCAATTGCCTTGCGGCTTTTGTCGTCACTTCGTCCGATTACTGCCATTGGCCACGTGTGTTTCCACTTTGCGCCGGCATAACGTGGAAGGAGAACACGACCGCAACAGGTTGGCGGAAGCTGTTGGCTCGGCTCCACAAACTTTCGGTTAGCGCAAACACAACCAAACACCAGCATGGCCTACGATGCATCAAGAAACCGTTGCCAGCTGGTTCTGCCTGTCGTGAACAACCCTTCGAAACAATTCTATGCACAATCCTTTGTCCAAACCTAGCTAGTTAGCTCTTCTTTTTAAATAAGCAATCAGTATAAATGGTCCAGGACCCTCTTTCAGACAGAGCAACTGTGTAGCTTCATGTGCCAACAAAGAAAAGACAAGAGCCCGGGCCACCACCTTGGATGAGGATCTTCAGACAGTCCCACGAGCTGATAAAAAGTCATTCACCCAAGCCTTCACCACACCATAACGCGTTCCAAGCAAATCATTTTCATTCCACGGACAACCATTCTCCATTGCAAACTCTAACACCTCCAAATGACCATTGTAAGCAGCCATGGAGCATGTCTCTTCATTCCATGGGCATCCATTTTCATGGGCATACTTTAGCACCTCCAAATGACCATACCAAGCAGCCATGGAGCATGTCGATTCATCCCATGGACATCCATTTTCATGGGCATACTGGAGTGCCTCCAAATGGCCATTCTCTGCAGCATGCGTAGAGGTGTGTTCGTCCCATGGACAGCCGTTTTCGTGGGCATACTTTAGCACCTCCAACTGACCATGCCGGGCAGCCATACAGCATGTCAATTCATTCCATGGACATCCATTTTCATGGGCATACTTTAGCACCTTCACATGGCCAAAGTGAGCAGCTCCGAGGCATGTCGCGTCATTCCAAGGACAACCATTTTCATGGGCATATTTCAATACTTCCAAATGGCCCTCTTGAGCGGCCATTCTGCAGGTATATGTATCCCATGGACAGCCATTTTCTTCGGCATATTTGAGGATTTCCAATTGACCATTCTGAGCAGCACTAGAGCATGTATATTCATTCCATGGACATCCATTTTCATGAGCATACTTTAGGCAATCCAGATGACCATAGCAGGCAGCTGCAGTGCATGTCCTTGCATCCCATGGACAGCCATTTTCATGGGCATATTTGAGGATTTCGAAATGGCAATTTTCAGCAGCACTGGCGCATGTCCAATGATGCCATTCACATCCATTTTCATGGGCATACTGTAGGCAATCCAGATGACCATTGCAGGCAGCTTCATGGATTGTAACATTGTCCCATGGACATCCATTTTCATGAGCATATTTGAGCACCTTGAGGTGACCATGTGTTGCAGCATTGTGGCATGTTGCCTCAGTCCAATGAAACCCCTTGTTTTGGGCCCAAGAAAGAACTTGAAGACAACCCATTTTGGCAGCTGTATTGCAGACAATATTGCTACAGATTTTCCCACCTGAGCCAGTATGCTGATGGCTGTACCAATACTCTGCACGGGGCAAAGAGGCAAAAGTCATGCTGTAGAATGTATCTGTAGTGGTTGTTGCAGAGCGTCTTCCTGCAGCATGGACAGACCTTGGAGGAGTCTTGACAGTTTCACAGTAGGCTGTGTAGAGACGTTTCATGTTGTGACTGACCGGTGCTACAAAGGCAAAGTGACCCATACCAAGAAAAGGGAAAATTTTGTCAAGCCAAATATCCTCATGCTTCAAACATCCAAGTGCATCCAGGACATTTGTGCTAGAATCCTTCATTCCATGATTCTCTATCTTTGATCGCTTCTGCTGTGGGGGCAACGCTGTAGAGCAGCCCATCTTTGTCGTTCCTTTGCCTTTCTCCATCTTTGTTGCCTCGATAAATGTGCTGATATCGGGCAACTTCGAAGCGAGAAGCGTGGAACCAAAGACTGTTTCGCTGGAATGGGAATGATAGCTTCTTTCGACAGCGCGGACTGGCTTGCTTCTCCGTTCCTTTCGCTCCCTCAGGCTGCACGATTGTTGAGTTTCTGATGTTCATCCAGCCTAACTAGCTTGCAATGACGCTGACCCAAACAAAGCGCGGAACCTCCAACACAGAACTGGTACCGCTTTGATCATTCGGACTTCTTCCTCTTGTCGAGTTGCCGAGGTCCAAAGTTTAGGCTGTGCTACCATACCTGACAATGAAGGAGTCTGATTCTGCTGTTTCATCTCCACCACAGACCCCTACAGGTCAACGACGGACTTATTTCACCGTCTGTTTCCTTCTCGTGCTCGCCGTTGCCTTCTTCCCGCCCAAGATAATCCAGAGCGTCGAGCAGAAGGAGGTCAAGAAGGGGAAGGAAACCAATACCACTGGAACCCCTGGGGTTGGGAATAGCTCCGTTGCTGTTGTTCAGGATGATCCAGTTATAAGCGTTACTGCTGATGCTGCTACTACCAATACTCCTGACGCTACCTCTGTCGCCCCTCAGGAAACGGCTGTCCCTATTGCTACAGCAGAAGATCAGCCGAAAGCCGATGCTACCAAGGATGCAGATCCTGGGGCTACCCCAGCTACAACTCCCAATTCGCATGATGCCACTTCTACCACACCAGAAGAAGCAACCATTCCTGAAAAGACAGCAGAAGAAGCGCCAGCAACCGAAGCTCCCAAGGAGACCACTCCCCCAGATACCCCAGCTCCCGTCATTCCAGGGTCCATTTCCATGGTCACAAGTTTTTGGGCTCAGCCTCCCGATCAAGAGGTCAGTCCACATCGTCAAGAGATTGAAGCATCCCTTCTGAACAACATGAACAATCCACATTTTCATCAAGTAGTCATCATCCTCGATGGCTCCAACGTCAATGCCAGTTGTACCCATTTCAAAGCCAGAATGGAACTGGTGGAAGCAGACTACAACAAATTTGTGGGAACCGACACTAGCAGCCCCGACTACCAGAACCGAAAAAAGCCAATCCTCACGTGTGTCGACCGTACACTCGGACAGCCCAACTATTTCGAAATGTTCTCCTATGCCGCCGATCCCACCATTGTCACGGGAGATGTTGTCATTTTGGAAAACGCGGATCATGCCTTTGATCACACGGTGCAGTATGCCAGCAAAATCAAGGATAATGTAATCATGACATTGTCATCCTGGGGATTCGACGCTGGCAAGGAAAAAATCCCATCGCCCACCAAGCAACACATGCAGTTTATTCATGGATGGGGCCTGGATGGCATGGCGGGTGATTTAAGGCGACGATGCCAGGGGGGCTCCAATTCGTGGGATGGCTATGTCTTTCACCGTAAAATCATGCAAGGTCGACTGGACCCATCCTTCTTTCAACGCAACAATGCGTTCTTCCTGATGAATCAAAAAAAAGCCGAATGGGCTGCCCTCGCGGCCCTCAAGAGCAACTTTCCCGAAGCAAGCTTTTCCAATGGTTGTACCGTGATCCAAACATGGCACATGCACGGCTTTCCCAAGATGCATGGGAACAATCGCAAGGTTCCGGAACCATATGATATGGGATCTGGTCCCGATTATGGTGCGTATCTGGAGCCAGTTCCTTTCAAAAAGAAGATTTGGAAGTAAGCAAGGAAGTGATCCAGGCAATAATATCTCCAGATTCTAGCCAGTCACCGTTTTCCAATTGCTGCCTTCATGATGTCTTGAAGTAGATCTACTGGTATGTGTGTTTTCCACGATCGCACTAGCGGGTCGTTTCTGTTCTGGAGACTGATTGGAGCCTTGAGTGCAGCCCTACCGCCGGTATCCAGGCGTGTTTGCCGGGGTGGACGTATTCGCAGCTTTTGTCAAGAGTGAGTCACTCTTCCTGCTGTGGCGAAAAGATGATACCATACCAATTGAAATCATGATTTCGTTAACGTTTGCTTGAGGTCTTCTGGCATTGGAAAATCCGGTCGTGATGGGAGTTGGTATCTTCCAGGAGGAATATTGTTCATAAGACTACTTTCACATTCGAGAGCGAGAAATCTCACATCCACATGATAATCTTCGTTCTGTCGTCGAAGCGTTGTCGTTGTCGTCAAAATCACCATTTTTGTGGTTGTCGAAGATGCGGCCATGCTTTTTAGTGTTAAAATTCGATTAGATCTTGTCAGTAAGAATTTTCATCGAGGTATCAATGTCAACATCAGCTGAGTTGCATGTTACCAACGATCCGAGGTCAAAAATATAGGGAGTGCAACCTCTCACACCAATATGACGCCATCGTAGGTCTTTTGTGTTGTAGTGCAAGTCCATCTCTTTAAATCGGACCAGGTGATTGCGGATTTCATCAAGGCAGTCTTCTCTTTGGTCTTCCGCGACTTGGTCAAAATATGGCATCATCAGGCACCAATGATTGTTCAATTGCACAACACGAACCTGGTCTTTAAAGGTATCCCCGTATACCTGAAGCCAATAGTCTTTTTCGCGGTTGGCCTCCGCCTCCTTAACTTTCATCTGAGCTTGTCTACAAGCCAGTCGATCAGCTCTTGTCCCCTCTTGGCGATGATACGTATCGTACCGGTAGTCGATCAAGAAGAATTTGACAGCGCATGCATTGCCTCTCGTGTTACAAGCGAGAAATACGCGCCCTTTGCTGCCTCGACCAAGGTCTCTCCAAAGGTACAACATGTTTGTTGTCGGTCCGGGAAACTTTTGGTAGCTGAAGCGTATGTTCGTCGGCATGTTTCCATATACAAGGCCTTCTGTGTTTACTTTGGCGCAAGAGCCGCCTACCGGTACACTTGCCCCTGGCGACGGCACATTTCGGGGCTCACTCTTCGCAATAGATTCAAGGCCGCAACGAATGGCGAGAACAAGAGCCTTTATTACGTTCTCCCCCGTAAAAATTTGCGTATAAACAACTGCACGATACCAATCTTCATCCTCGTCGTTGCTTGGCTTTTCTTCAACATTATCTTCCTCGTCATCAACATCACCACCACTACCCCCAACATCAATAGGTGGCTCACTCTGACGAAAGATTCTGTTCAATTTTGACGGAGGGCTTGATGGTGACTGCTTATGGCTGTCATCGCCTCCAATTCCAAATGAGGCGAGAATATCGGTGTCGACGTCCTCACTCAGAGAGCTGCGATGCATTCCTATCGAGAATTTCGCGCGAGACACCACCGTCGTCCAAATGAGCAATGCACATCTCGTCATAACACGAGAGAACAGCAAACGGGGTATCAACCCCAGACAAGAGCTCGCCCACCAGGTAGTCCAGTCAAACACTTGGCCGCCAACCTCATGGGATTCAACAATCCGTCACCCGGTTTCTTAATCTCAATGACCAACACAACAATTCCTTTGCCGGCATGACTCACAACAACAACAATGTCTGGATGGAGGGAAAATATGGAATATTCGCTTTCCACCTCAAATTCGTCATATGATACAGATCAAGACTCCGGAGCGCGTCTTTTAGACAAGCTGCGACAAGAAATTGAACTTTGGTCTCATTCTGATAGTCTTCGTAAAGTGATCAGCATTCCCAAGGTCCGTGAGGAGGGCGCTCGGTTGAGTTTCTACTCCATCAGGTAGAAACAGCTCTCCCTCGGGGAGCGTGATAGCCTTAAGGACAGGGGCGGCTTCCTCATGGCCGGTGTCCTCGACGTGCGCTGTACCACTTTGCATCGATTGCTTCCCTTTCGAGAGCTTCGGGATTTCCGATTGTGCTAGGAGGTCTCCCAGATTCGTGCGCATAGATATTTACCTCGCTTTTCGTTTCGACATGATGCGATCGATGCACGTCCGTGCCGTATATGTGGGAGCCCGTGTACTTCATCTGCTGTTTTGCGGTTGTATTTGTTGCTGTTCATAATGATGAAGTCGCTGTTTGTGGTACCATGGTACCGGTTGGTACTGGATGCCAAATTAAAGCTAGCAGAGCGGCCAAGAATGGTTTTGGAAAACCCGGAGTTTTCATGCTGTCACGGTAACCGATCTACATACGGGTCGAGGTAGACCCCAAGTCTTGTATTTCTCTGCAAGAACCTAGAGCAAGGGCTGCTCGGCACGGTAGTTTGACACAAACCCAAGAACTCGGACACCTTTGCTTGGCACTTTGCTGCCAAAGCAGTGGCAACCACCACAGGAGACCCCACAGCATCCGACATTCGGAAACTCTACAACCTCAAAATACTGTGGCAGGGCAACCCCCTGTCCACAGTCAAAACGTTCGGGACAAATGACTGCATTCTATGTAATCAAGAACGGCTTCACATCTTCAAACGTATGAGAAACAAACCTTCTACACTTCTCAACAGATGTGAAGAACTATTTAATACATGCCGTCACAAACCACGGTTCCACCGGTTCACCCATGCAACCCCAGTGAGCAGCACTGATGAGCCCTCAATGGGCGAAAAAGTGCCAACCACCATTGATGTATAACACCAATGGTGTGTGTGAATGCAATCGATATATCCATAGAAATAGTACCACAGAGTCAACCCATCAAGCCACAGTTCTGTTGCCTCGTGCCACTCGGCACCAGAACTCCAGCCTGAAGGCTTGTCTCTGTCAATCCCAGTAAATTATTTATTAGTATACTCACTTTTTGCTGCAATTGATAAAAGCATAGAGGCAATCGAACACCGACTGCACAGTAATCACTTTGTTTCGAGAACTCAAAAGGTTTTTGATCACCTCGCCTATCTTCTTTTGAAACATCACCTACATACCCGACTGACTCCTTGCCGTTTACCAATGCTGAGCCGAGAGCGAAATTCCTCGCTTCCTCGGCGGCGTCAAGCCTCGTCCCAACTTTGCTTGCACGGACCCTTCTCCATTCCTATCTACTAGTTCTCCTGGCTCGGGTGGATGCCTTGGCGGTAGAACTCTCTCCCCAGCGGAAAGTCAGTCACATGTAACAAACCCCGTTCCCTTACCCGACTGGCTGAGTCCTTGCTACGGTACCGGTACCGCAGCAACGGATGATTCGATTCAATCTAATCTAGCTCTAGCTAGTGAGAAGCCAGCCACATCCCAGATCCAAATTTTGCTTCAGCGACCTTATAGATCCCCAGCCACCTTACCGGAACGGAAGCCAAAGGAGTCGTCCTCCTCTCTTCTTGTTCTGGAGTGGTAACTAGAACTCCCACACCGACACTGCAGTGGTAACTAGAACTCCCACCCCAACTCCCACCTAGTATCGCTCAGCCCCAGAATTTTGAACCGCCCATCATCCAAGACTGCACGGTAGCTGCCTCACCAGCAACTCCTTTGAGCTCCCAAGCAAGAACCATGGTGGTGATCTGATCGATGCGCCCGCTTTCAGCTCGGCCGTGTCTTGGTTGCAGAGAACCACATCCAAAGGGAAGACTGGAGCGACCAAGCTAGCTGCGTGCCTTCCTTGCCGTGTCTTTTTGTGTCTTCCTGGTAGCTTCCTTTTGGCTGTACGGTAGCTAGTTGACTGATTGGGTTGACGAGCTCTGGAGCTATACAAGAGAATTGATGTTGATCATTAGTGTAATGATTTTATCTTTTCGTTTAATAATACTTCTAGTGTACAGTTGTAGTAGATGATGATTGACTGATGGGCTCTTCTATTCTATAGTATCAAATTCATTCCAAAAACGAGCTCTTTTTATTGTTGTGCAACAGCCTTGGCATCTTCGAGTGCCATTTTGTGTGCAAACTCGACCGATGCCCGTGACAAATGGGAGGCCGTGCGGCTCAAAATGCGGACCTTCATGGTGGGATGGGTCTGATAGCATTCCTTTTGGGCATTGACAATTCCATGTCGCATGGCGCGACGACTGCCGCAAATGCTGCGGAGAATAAACGACGCTTCCAATCCACGCAGTGTATCGTCGTCGCCGTGGCAGTCCAGTGACAAGATGCTGTTGCTGTTGTCTTCACCACCAATTGTGACATCCATGGAACGACGACGGCCACAACTGCCGCGGCGTGCGGCACTCCTGGCAGAGTCATCCCACAAATCTTGTAGTCCTTCCGTGGCGACTGGTCTGTGTTCTTCCGCCAATTGACGATCGCGTTGTCCAATTTCCACAAGCTCCTCGCGAGACCACCAGAGCATGGTCTTGTCTTCCGATTTGACAAAGGAGTGGACTTGGACCTGTACTGGTTCTTCACTGCTAGTACTGTCAACCGCAAAGTGAACACTGCGTTGGACATTGCGTCGCGAGTTGCGTCTCTTGAGTGGCTCCGCAGCGGCTCCTTCTACCAAACAGGAAGTGCGCTTGTTTCTGCCGAGACCACGACCACTGGCGCGGCGAGGGCGGATGGTGTCCTTGTTGCAGGGTGATTGCCATGGCATGGCGGTGCCAAAGGGAGAGCAGGAGTGGGTCATGGGGGCCATCATTGTTGTTGTTGGGCTTTTGTGTTGTTGTTCCTGTTGTGTTGGAGTTGGTTTTGTGACACGCAACAACTCAATCGCTGGCTGGCAATTGGCTTCCCCAAGATTTCCCAAGACGTTCAAGTGGCTGCCGTTGCCAGTCCTCTGACTGGACTCAACTCGGCGATACGCAGCAACGTTGCTTGGCCGAAACCTTCCTGCGGCAGCTGCCCGGCAGGTCCGGGTCTTTCCCACTTCCGCACAAAACCGACAACCGACCACTCTGATCGTGCTTTTTCCTGTGAGCTCTTGCAGCCGTTGTAACATTGTAACATGCTTGGTTGAACCGGTAGCAGCAAGACCGTCTCAAGACAACGGCATTTGTGCCCCAGATGCAATATGTCTTGTATCGCTGGTTTGGGGGAAGGAAGGATTAAAGGTTCAGCCGCAGCAACTCGTAATGACACGAGCCAACTCGGTTTTGGCGTACGAATGAACGTCAGAGAGCTTAAGGGAACCAAAGACTTCCTTAACAATTTCAATACCGGTGGGAGGTGGTCTCTAGTAAGATTTCGAAATCTCTCACTTGCGCCACATACCGGTACACATGTACACTGTACTGGTGCCACATATACACATACATATAATACCGTAGGGAAGTAAGGGAAGAGTACATACAATGTCATGTACTGTACAGTACGTATGCAGGGACATTGTGCGAGCTCCGACGAATTCATCTGATCCTGTGATGCTGTGACGCTGTGATGCTGCAAGGGCTGGGGCAGACACTTCCGAAGGGTTCCAATGAAAAGTGGAAGTCTGTCTTATTGCAGCCTGGGACCTGGGATTGTATTCGGATGCTTCAGTGGGCATCTGGATCTCTATGGAGAAGACCAATGCTACCGGTAACCATGACGGTCTTGAAAAGTGTTCTGAGCTCATTTCCAAATAATGCGCTGTCCGCTGTCATTCGGCACTCCCTTTTGAGCTTTTAGACCTCGACACAGATACTGGTGGTGCTCTGCTGGCTCCTGGCTAAATTACATGCAGGCCGAAAAGTTCAGCTCGGAAAAGCTACCATCATGAAAGTTAGAGAGACAATGTTTGGAAGTTTGCTTCTAGGTTCTTGGCGGCTAGATACGACCTTGGTGTGGTGGGGCATGGCTGGACCTTCCCGCAACAAGCAATTTGCTGCTTCGTCGCGATGTTGGTGGCTGCCTGCCTGAATACATGGCATTGTGTACGGTAGTGCAGTCACTGGCTGGCTGCTGCAAAAGATGCAAGCAGCCCAGATGCCAGTCACAGCCAGTGTCATGTCCTTGTGCCTGTTCTTTGGTTCTTCTACCACCACCAGAAGCTAGCTACGGTAGAAATACTAGAAGAGCCAATGCAGTAGCGAGCGCTCGAAGATGCGAGCAGGTTCTTGAAGCTGTGGATCCTGGATGCTTTAATATATTCCTCGCCACTCACTTGGTTACCTGGCCTGGGGCATACTATTGGCGGGTTCTGGGCTTTGTCCTCTACGTGTATCAGATTGTGGTGACAAATGCACATAGCTATGCCAACAATGCTAGCTCGGACCCGGGCAAGCAGTGAGTGGCTGGTATACCAAAAGGCGAAGTTTGGTATGCTGTAGCTAGGAAGGGTATTGGCTGACAGCAAGCAATGAGCAATGGTCTCTGTGGAGGGCGAACTAACCACACTCGTCACTTCGCTGCCTTCAGCGATGCTCTCGGTCACTGCGGGCGTCGTCGGAGGCGGGAAAGGTCATGTCAGACGATTTTGTTCAAACGGACAACGCCCACGCCTTCTCGGAGCGTCGACCTTCGAGCCTTGCGCTCGACCTGTGGAGGTCATTGACTGCATAGGCGCTGGTGGCTTTGCATTGGTTTGGAGGAGGGAATCGGTTGACTTCAATCAACCAAGGGCGGTTGTTGGCATCAACAACGTAATCAAAGCCGAGGATCTTTGGATGACCCAAGGACGAAAAGCTTCTTCCCGTCGATCCAACTCCCAGGTATTGTCAGCCATTCTCGAATTGCTGCTTCATCGTAGATCGAGAGTACAAGCCTCACAGAGTTCCTCAAACCGTTCCAGAATCGATTCTCTTCTTCTTGCGAAAAGGTATCAATCACGAAGCGCACCAAAACCAGCTTGGAAACATGGCTTTACCTCTGCCTGAGTTCGTCGTGTGTTGTTCCGCTGCAGTCACATCCTTTGCGAACTTCACAATCACATCCTTTGACACGTAAGATGTTGCTCCAATCCGCCAACATAGACCCGGAGAGAGAATTTCTTCCTATTGAGTAAACAATAAGGAGGATCTATCACACGTTGCAAAAGGTGTGTGTCGCTGCTGCTTGCCTGCTGCTGTCCAACGGTAGCAACAGAGCTGAAGTTCTCCAGGCGCAGAAGTCGGTTTCCATGGGATCCACAGCCCGATCGACTCTACGCTCGCAATCCAGAGAGAAGAAGAGTTATTTTGTGGTTGCAGAAATCAAATCGGTACTGTACTGCTCCAGGCTGGGCAGTTTTATTCAGTTCGGAGAAGCTATCATATTGTACAGAGTTAGAGTGATGCTTGGAAGTTTCTGGGTAGGATCTATCCAGCTAGACTTTGGCTTGGTGCGGTACCGGTACCGGTACCGGTACGGTGGCTGCCACAAGCAAGTGCTGCTTAGTCGCGACGTTGTTGCTTTGCTTGCTTCGTGAATACATGTAGACGCGGTGAAGCAAGAAGAAGTAGGTGACAGTCACAGCCATGGCCATCTCCTTGTGCCTGGCGCAGGCTATGGACGGGGTTACCTGGCTGGGGCTTGTCCTCTGCCAGATTGCGGTGACGTTGCCTATAGCTAGCTATGACAACAATTAATTCTACTAGCTAGAAGGACGCGGGCAAGTGAGTGATGGACCAGAAGGTGGAGTTTGGCATGCGGTACCAGGTACCGGTAGGGTGGCATTGGCTCCTGCCTCCTGCACCAATCGACGCTTGAAGTCGCAGGCGACCCAAAGGGAAAGCAAAGGGGATCTGGGGGCTGGTGGAGGAACCGGATAGCCCGGAGAGGTTGTGACCGGAGGAGCCGAAGAGCCCGGAGATGTGCAAACATGACCGCTGAAAACACATAATGTGCAAGACATTCGAATGACTTCTTTCATGCTTTAGATTTTAAAATATTGCTTTGGCTGACTAGCTAGCTTGTTCTTCGTGACTCAAGCCTTTAAAATACTACTCGTACATGTACTGTACTGCTTCAGCAGCAACTCTTTCGGAGGAGTGACTTTTCTTTTGGTTTTTTGCCTCTCCGTGGATTGTGTTTGGATTCGATTCGATTCTGGACTATACATTTATTAGTACCAGCTTCCACCCCTCCAAAAGAGCCATGGTGGGTGCTCTTTTCAGTAACTTCTTTTTAAAAAGTAAAACAAAAGTGAAACACAAAATTGATAACTTCTACAGGTTCCAGTATTCCAATTTATACGTCGTACCAACTACATATACTATGGGCTGTACATTTTTTGCCACTGCACTCGTAGCCAACGGCGTCATCATGAACCCAGCTCCAGACATAGACGGCGATGTGACCCTTCGCCAGGATGCATTGGTCACATTCTCTTGCCCAGATGGTTTCATCATGAAGCAAGGCGGTACTCTGGTTGATTCATTTTCTTCTCTTGCGTGCCCCATCCATGATAATGATTGGCCACTAGTTCTTCAAGCTCCGAGCCTATCCTGCGAAGATCCATCACTGACTGACTCTGGAATCATGGGAGAACCCCATGTCAAGAAGTGGAATGGAGAATGGTATGATTGGCAGGGAGAGTGTGATGCTGTATTCCTCCATGTCCCAGACTTCCGTGATGGACTTGGCTTGGATATCCATACTCGGACCACCATCCGCTACAACTACAGCTTCATCGAGACTGCAGCCATCCAGGTTGGTGCTGACATTCTGGAGGTCAGCAGCTTTGGAGACTACATGCTGAATGGAATCTCCGCTGCTGACTTGCCTCAGGTGATGGGAGATTGCTGCAACATAACCCACACCCAGCTCAACCAGAAGCAGCACTCCTTTTCAATCCACATGGGAGAAGGGGTCAGCCTTGAGCTCTCTACCCACAAGGACATCGTCTCTCTTAAGATCCTTCATGGAACTTCTCCTTCGGTGGATGCGTGGTTTGGCAGCAGCTCTGGCTTGATGGGGAGCTTCCATGAGAGCAAGACCTTGGCCCGTGATGGTGTCACTCTCTTGGAGGATCCCAATGAGCTGGGCCAGGAGTGGCAGGTCTTGGATAGGTAAGCATCTGTGCTTCTCATTTGATGTTTGTAATTCCCAGCCTTCACATCATCCACTAACACGTGCTTGCTTGCTTGATCAAGTGATCCCAAGCTCTTCCAAAACACCGATCGTGCTCCCCAGTTTCCAGAGAAGTGCCACCTCCCAGATGCTGCTGCTGCCCAGAAGCGTCGTCTTCTCGGGGGGGCTGTATCCAGGGATGAAGCAGCAGAGGCCTGTGCCCATTGGAATGAGGACGAGAGGAAAAACTGCATTGCCGATGTCCTTGCCACCAATGATTTGGAACTTGCTGAGTTCAGTGGATACTAGACAGTTCAAAAACCTTGTCAGGTAATGCTGGCTATATATTTGTAAGAAGAAGATGAAGCAGAGAACAGGAAGAGGACGATCAAACCTGAGGAGGCAATAGCAAAGAAATACATGTAGTGAAATGCGAAAGCAGTCGTGCCATTTAATTAAGTTACTCTAAAAAGATGGAGTTTATATTCCCCCAACCTTCTCACCTGTTCCGACATGTAGTACATCCAGCGCTCGCCCAATCCAGATGCAAAGCCGAGCAGGTATCATTGGGCGGAAATCCAACCACAGGACTGCCTCAATTGACACTATTGTCTGCCATCGCCGTTTGTCGTTCTGTTCCATGGTCGTTGTTCCCATCGTCGAACGTAGTCGTTGTTACCATCGTCGAACGTGGTTGTTGTTACCGTCGTCGAATGAGCGTTGCGATCTGTTGTTGTGTTGTGGGGGTTGTGGTTGCGGCGGCGTACAAGCGTCATCCAGATCGAGAGGTGTTGTTTGATTTTTGAAGGTTTCTCTCGTCCTGCTGATCAACCGCTTTACTTCATGTACTAGCTATGATAGTACGATGTAGTATGATGCTCGAGTACATGTAGTACAGTACTTAAAATTGAGTGCATGAGGCTTTTTCACCGGATTCAATTCTGGCTTCCTCTACTTATTTTATTAAAATCAGTTGATACTGTAATAAAATGTTTAATTAATTTTTTAAAACTTCCGAAAGGAAACTACTAG